GATATTGGTCGGTAATTTGATGGGTCAGTATGATCTCGACCGGGCTTTGGTATCGGGACAACAATAGCATCACGCCACGAAGGAGGGGACTTCCCCGAGGTCCAAATGACATCAAAAATATTCAATAGTGTTTCTAAGGATGATTCGGGTAAGTGCTTCAGGAGTTGATAATGTATGTTATCAGCTCCTGTAGCAGTATCGTGAGCTTGTCCAAGGGCAGTATGGAGTTCATGAATAGAGAATAGTTCATTATAATCTTCCCCATTATCTGAATTAAAATTAATAGGTTTCTTTTCTTGCTGTTTTTGATACTTTTGGAATTGACGTACATAGTTTGATGAGGAAGAGTGTTTTGCCAAAGTTTCACCAATTTTATTAGCAATATCTGATTTATGAGTTAGTAGTTGGTCCCCATCTTTAAGATGGTGAATACTAGATTTAGTGCCCTTACCTTTGATTTTTTGGACCATGTTCCATACCTTGGACATGGGCGTCCGAGAATTTATTTTTGACACATAATTTCGCCAAGATTGGCGTTTACTTTGTGTAAATGTTCGCCTTGCCTTAGCATTTAATATTTTAAATTTGTTTAAGTTATGGACCATAGGATGTCGACGGAAATAACGCTCAGCCTTTTTCCTCGCCTTCCTAGCTTGCTTGCAGTCATCGGTAAACCATGGTTTACGTATGTGGGGAATTCCAGAGGACTTAGGAACACATTTTTCAGCTATATTGATAAGTTCATCAGAAAAACATTGTATTGGGTCAGGAACGTCAGTGAAATGATCAGGTGTTAGTTTTTCTGTACAGAGAATGTCATATAGAGGCCAGTTGGCTTTTGTAAAGTTCCATCGAGATGATGGAGGAACATCAGATGGGGTAATAGGGTTTAATATGGTTGGAAAGTGGTCACTTCCACAGAGGTCATCGTGAACCAACCACTCAAATTCATTCAGCAGGTTTGAATCGGTAATAGACAAATCCAAAGATGAGTATGTGCCTGTACCAGGATGTAAATATGTGTTGGAATTATCGTTAAAAAGGCATAGATTATTGTTGGAAATAAAATCTTCTAAGAGCTTGCCTTTACAGCTTGTACGATCACTACCCCAAAGTGGATTATGACCGTTCATATCGCCCATGATAATACAGGGCTTAGGAAGCTGGTCATAGAGAGCTTGAAGATCGGTTTGCTGAAGAGATGTAGATGGAGGAATGTAAAGAGAGCACAGAGTAAAAACAATGTGCATAGTGATACGAACTGCGGTAGCTTGTAGAGGGGTATTGAGAGGAACAGGGCTATGAATAACACCCTGCCTCACCAAGATTGAAGAACCTCCAGTGGCTTTAGCCCCTGGAGGTGAAAAGAAATGATAGGAGTCGTAGTGTCTAATGTTTAGTTGATCAGTAGTTTTAAAGTACGTTTCCTGCAAACAAAAGGCTGATGGCTTGAAATCTTGTGTTAATAGCTGCAAATCATTAAAATTGTTTTTTAGTCCTCTGCAATTCCATTGTATTATCGGGTTAGAACAGGTCATGGTGGTTCTACTGGGGTTCTGGAGCGGGAGGGAGGTCCACTCCCATGGCCTGTTGGAGAAGGAGTGACCTCCATCGCCAAAGGTTCAAATTGATTTTGAACCTTAACAGGTGTAGGCTGAGAAGAAGGCACCTCCAAGTGTTGGAGGGCCCTCGCCGTTTTTTTCAGTTTCTTTTTTTCTGTTTTTGTTAAAGGTATGTCGCCATTAATAGGAGATGATTCTGATTGTGATGTTTTTGAAGATGCAACTAGTTCCGTCTGCGATGCTGATGTTGTTGTTGTATTTGGAGATGATTGAGCCGGAGAGTCATTTAACATCTGCTGATAACCAACCCAAGAGATGGTGGTTTGGCATCCAACAGATACTGTGGCTGCTTTGACAAAAGGAGTGATAGTTGCTGCGGCAGCATAAGATTTGACTGAGGTAATTTGAGACTGTGACTGAACTAATTTTTTAGCTTCATGAAAAGATATATTGTTGGTGTGTTTGATTTTTAACACTTGGGACTGGAGAAGAAATGCTGGACAGAGTTTAGCTGAGGCCAGATGGTCCCCCTTGCAATTGGCACATTTTATGGCAGCTGTGCACTCAGTACTCTCATGTGACCCACTGCAGCGGGCACAGATAGCACTGAAAGTGCAGGTCTTAGCGCCATGCCCAAAATGTTGACATTTGTAACATCGGAGTGGGTTTGGTACATGTTAAAATGTTAAAATATCCAGCTTTGATAGATGGTGGAATTTTCGAAAGAGAAAAAGTAAACAGATAAGTGTGAGTCTTTATAATTTGTTCATCTTGTTTTCGTGTGAAGCGCTTGACAGCTGTTACACCTTGTGTAGACAGTTCAGTCACAATCTCGTCTTCGCTCATGTCAGATAGACATCGGGCTCTGTCTCTTACAATTCCCCGACACGAGTTCAGCGTTCTGTGAGCCGAAACAACAACCTCTACATTTGCAAATTGGCTGAGTGAGAGCAGGTTCAGAGATTGTTGTCTTCTTGCACACTCTACTAATATGGAGCCATTACGCAGACGGGAGACATTTTCAACATTTCCACAACAACCATTGATGGCCTTGGAAATGGCAAACGGGTTTAATTTTAAGGGTTGGTGATCTGATGCTTCGATTACAATGAATCGAGCCCAGGAATCTATTTGTATAGCAGTTTCTTCATCAGAAGAGCTGGCATCTATGTGTTTTCTTTTTGAACCAAGGTATTTTGTAGACATAATGAGAGAAAGTGGTTCTGCACCCCTGCTCCCCACCCACCATCGAGTGTCAACAAGGACGGTGTCTTAATGCATTGGATATCCAAAATGCAAAACACCAGGGCTACAGGGGTGTGATACTCCAGCAAATATGACATGAATAGCTATATTTATCTACCAGATGTAGTGCCAGGCAGGTTCAATCCATGACAAGAAACTGGAGACATACAGAATACAGAGGTCAACATCACCAGATTGGCCCATGAGCCACCGCCTTCTGGCGTAAGACTCTAGGCAAATTATTCAATCCAAAATTGATAATACATACAAGTTATGGACGGCCAAGGCCAAAATATACATTACAATTCAACACAGATGTGCATATACAATATTACGCACAGGGCCTGGCATGACCAGCCGATTGATAAGACCGGGCCCATCTTACCACCCGTCTAGGCGAAGTAAGGGTCGAAGTAGTGTGTTGGGCAAAGGAACACAGTTCCAGGAACCAGTGCCCTCAACTACCAGACTCCCGTCCTCCGCCGACACAGGGACGCAACCCACGGCAAACGGGCTGCCCACTTTGGTCGCCTCTTACGACCAGCAATGGGGTGCTGTGGAAATATTCTACCCCGGTTCCACACGGGGGAAGAGCGATTTGCGTTACCCAGCACTCACCACGAGGAGGTTGCTCTTCACGAGTGCCTCACACGGCATGGAATAGCAGGATCTTTAGAGACTTGTCAAAGGTGATAAGGTAATGCGAACTTAGATCGTGATCCACATACGTTTTAGATGTATATGGGAAACGCTAAAATCAGGTAGACGTGTTTTTGTGGGTCAGGGAAAGACAGAGACGTAATATTAATCTCTAAAAATGTACGGCAACCGTCAGTGTCATGTGACCCCCGGTGAACCAGTGTCATATATTTCCATTCAGTTATAATAAAAATAATCGCTTACTTACCATGAAGCATTTCCCTCGTTCATCAGTATACTTTGATTGGTCGGCTATTTTTAGCGTTGTGTATTTTTAAATGAGGTTAAAAACGAATTTATGGTGGCGAATGAGTCATGGGTAATGTTATTTTATGGTTAAATATAATTAGCGACTAACACTAAGTCTATAAAATCATTTTGTTAAGTTATTATCTTTTTTCTCTGCTGTTATGAATCTTAGCTCGTATAGGCTTTTTGTAAAACAAATTTCTAAAAAATAATATATAAAATATATAAAATAGATTCCACAGTTCTAGGAGCGCAAGACTAATTTAAAAAGATGTGTGATACAGAGATGCTAAAGGGGACTGACTATACGCATTGGCCTAAGATGGCTTATACAAGCCCACACGAGTAGGAATGGATGCTCTCATCAGCGCCATGTGGGAAATGAAGCCATTTTCACTGTGTAATTAGCGTGATATATTTTGAGGTAGCAGGCTCACAGTGTGATCTAAAGGTGCTGGAATCAATCGTGTTAGGACTGCCGACTGACCTGAGAGTAGAACCCATTAAAACTATAAGCTTTAAGTACAGTACATGAGTGAGTACCGTTATGCCACGGCATGGCCGTTTCATGTTGAGTAGAAAGCCAAAATTGACTAGCATAACCTACTCGCAACAGTCAAATTAATAATGTCGAAGTGAGTGAGGGACTTGGATTTTACGCGGCGTTTAGCAATATTCCAGCAACATCACGTCGTGGGACACCAGAAATGGGCTTCACTCATCGTTCCCATGTTTGTCGAAACCGGGCCTTCAGTGTGACGAGCGAACACTTTAACGTAATAATGTTGAAAGTTGAAAGCCATGAAGGCAATATCATGTTTAATAACTGAAATTATATATAATAAATACGTGTACTAAGAACATTGTTTTAACATCTTTTCAGAAAGCACAAATAGCTTACAACTGAATCTATGAGGGACATAAACAAGTCACTGCAAGAACCTTCAGCCATCATTATCCATCCTTTTTATGTAGTCTACCATGATACAGAGGGAATATTTCGCACTGCAGAGTAAAAGAATATTCACTCTTTCACACCTTGATATGGCATAAAGTGCTTCTGAAGTGGGTTTTATGATCATGTGGAATTTAGATTTGACATAAAACAAATTTCAGAATACAATATAAATGGTGAGTGACTCCTTTCATAGCAATATTACAATCCCCTGTGGATGAAATGATAGTGTCCGGGAGGGATCAGATAGCTCCTCAATAATTATAACAAACTTCTTTACATCACGACAGGAATAACATTCCCAACGTTGTTGGTGGTCAAGCAGCATGTCTGTGGATGAGGTTCAACAAACAATTCCAGCCAGAGTGAAGCAATGGGCAGAGACCCATCCAGACAAGGAGGTGTTTGTCTTCTACAGTGATGAAGGAAGACGTGCTCTCACCTGTAAAGATGTACACAACCTCTCCACAAAGTTTGCTGCAATCCTTCAGCGTCGGGGGTTGAAACATGGAGATGTGGTCTGCAATACTCTCACCAACTCTCCCGAACGTCTTATCACCGATTTTGGCATCATGACTGCTGGCTGTGTTGCTGCTAATGCCCAGGCACTGCTGGCGGACGGTACTGATCTGTTGCATGTGATCAACTTGAGTGGCTGTCGTCTACTGATTGGGGACAAAACACTACCTGGAGGTGCTTGGGATCTTCTCAAACCACATCTGGGAGAAATCATGGATCTGAAAGTGAATTCAATCAATGCTCCTAAACTGGAAATGGTGGAGTTTGTTGGTGTGAAGGGAGGTGGCGACTACCTGGAGATGTTGCATCAGGAAGGAGATCCAGTTCCTGTTGAGATACTACCAACAGACACAGCTCTGTATTGGGCAACCTCGGGCAGCACTGGCTTTTCAAAACTTGTGCCAAAGACGCATGAGGTTATGCTTCTACTTTCTAGCCAGTTTACAAAGATGTTTCAATTCCATCAAATGAATACTACTGTGTTCAGCAATCGGCCTTTGGGTTGGGCAGGTGGATGGCCATATGGATTTATTGAAATGGCAGTCCCACAGGTGATGACAGACACGAGAGGTTCTGTTCTGGATCAATGTAGGCTGTCTTGGGATGTGCTTAGCAAGGAAAAGTGTTCTCATGCTGTACTTACAATAGCCTTCATGAAGAAACTGGCAGAAAGAAGAACTCTGGAAAACTCGGGTGATGTGATTCAAAGATTGATGTGTATTGCTACAGGGCAACCTTTTGCCAAACGCTGCTGTGAGTTTGTTGGTAAGATATGTCACTCTGTGGCAAATGCATATGGACTCTCAGAAGTTGGTTATGTATCAAGTTGTATTTGTGAGAAGGAGGAAGACTTTGAAGACAACCTGGTTGGATGTAACTCTCACTTCGGGGTTAAGGTAGTAGATGAACAGTTTAAAGATCTTGGAGCAGGCAGGGACGGACAAGTCCTGCTTCATGGACAATGTGTGATCAAGGGATATGTTAACAATCCTGAAGCTACAAAAGCAGCTTTTACAGATGACGGCTGGTTTAAAACCGATGATGTGGGCCATTTTGATGAGAAGGGGCGTCTTTTTGTCGAAGGAAGACGCTCAGATGCCATTATGCATGGAGAGTACATCATATACCCATCCTGGGTGGAGAAGAAGTTGAGAACATGTCCCTATATTTCTGAGGTCATGGTGGTCCCCGTTCCTCATCCAGATATGTGTCATGAGGTCTGTGCCTGTGTCATACCCAAACCAAACATGGATGTCACCACCAAGATGATCAAAGATCACTGCGATCCAATGTTCATCAGCGATTCCCTCCACGAAATGTCAGCCAAACCAGCCTACTATGTTCTGTTTGAGAGTTTCCCTCTCAGACCAACAGGCAAACCTGACAGACGGGCATTATCAAAAATAGCGGAAAAAATCACCTCAATCCGAAACTAAACTCATGTTCAACCACACCATTGGGGTGCAAGGGCAGACGAAACTACCTAGCAGCAAGGAAATAGTATTTGGTACCTCTATGAGTGAGTGAGTGGGTTAGGTTTAACGCCGCTTTTTACAGTTTTACAGTTATATCGCAGCGTGTCAGCTTAATGTGGGAGGAAAGCCTGAAGTGATGCAGGTCTCAGACGTTTACCACGTCGGTGAAACCCACGAGCACATGTGTGGTGCTGACAAACCTAGAAACATAATCGGGGCGAACTGGGATTCGAACCCACAATCATAGGTTTCTGGCGTGTCCAAGGGATGCAGCTCTGCACAGGGTACCTCTATGAGAGTATTTAGTTTTCAAATTAATCAGAATATATATTGTGAACAAATTTTGTATTATATTCATTTGATCATTACCGTAAGTAGCTTTTTTTACACACTCTATGATAATAACTATTGAATTTGTGTACTCGCACATGATTATGGAACTGGATATACCAAACTATATTTACAATTAAAATGTTTCATTTGTTATTATTGTTGTTATTATTGTTGTATAATATCATTATTGTCTGCACGTGGCATGTATAATGCAACGTATCAATATTACGTTCACGTTTCTTGTTTATTGACACTTGCTTGAAAAAACAACAAATAACCTACACTTATCTTCTCTCTTGTTACAGGTTTCGCCTTCACAAGCTAGCTGCCTTCAGTACTGAGCTAATTATCTTGCAATACTGAAAGAAGTTGAAAGCTATCTTAGTGTCACCAAAGAGTAAAACTAGGGACTGATATTCATCCGACATACCATGATGTCAGTGAATTACAGTTCAAAGTGGCCTAAACTCAAACTCTATCCATCGCTAATAACTACACCCTTTTCCAAAAAAGCATATGGCATTCGTTATATATAATAATATAGTAATGACGAAGATCGCCTTTAACAATGCCCAGGAACACTTACAATCGACAATATACTTTCCCTAATCATGAGAACTTTCAACTACAGGCAGAGCTTATTGTACGATTCCGACTGTGTTTATGAATCAGTATGAAATAGTGATAATAATCTGTTTTCACGGAACGCATGGCGTATCCCTACAAACCGGTGGCAGCCATCACAAACACATGCAAAGGCAAGTCAAGTGTTCACCAGAACAAATGCTGGTACATATGGTACAAATGAAATTGGGAATTGTATCAGATATAATGTTTGTCATAACGAAATCGATGTAGTAGAAGTGTATATTGTCTAGCATCTGGAACATTTAAAGGACATATGGATATAGTTCCATTGTACCACAAAACATTACCTGACACAAAACTAAATTACTATCCGTATCACCATAATAGAGGGTATTCTGTGGAATGGGGCATAGGGAGATTTCTTACTTATGTTTAGAACAGTACATAGGCAGTTCATTTGGGGACATGTAGGTGTGTTTGCTTTCAACTCCATCTCCCCAATCTGTAGATAAGACCTACATGGATATCCCACAGTAAACCTTTAAGCTCTCATCCCCTAATAAACAAAATGCGCTGTTTCAGGTATTGTTTTACCTGTCTGTTTTCCCAACTGCATACCCTCACAAACGAGGGTATGAATTATGCTTGAATGGCACTGGCTATGGCTTCGTGCGCCTCTTGGGATGATCTTATACAGTTTGATATTAAGTGAGTGAGTGAGTGAGTATGGTTTAACGCCGCTTTTAGCAATATTCCAGCAATATCACGGCGGGGGACACCAGAAATGGGCTTCACACATTGTACCCATGTCGGGAATCGAACCCGGGTCTTCGGCGTGACGAGCGAACGCTTTAACCACTAGGCTACCCGACCGCCCCTTGATGTGACAGGGTTTGCTGCTCACAGTCGCCGCATGATCGAAAAATAGAACGAACAGAGAGTGATTAGAAGTAGTTTGTTCAAGGTCAAATCTCATAAACAGTCAAACTATCTTCAGGGATATGCCTACTATCTGCAATAGTAGTCAACACACACCGATATGGTTTATGCCAGTTGTAAAATAAAGGACACCAGACCTTCCCCAACCACCACCGTTTGTCGAATATCAGGCCACCAACATTTTCCAATAACATATATCCAATTCAAATACCGGATATTTTGTGTAGTTAGGTTCAGTGAACAACATACTTTTTGAAGAGTGTATATATAAAGATATATCCAATCATCCAATACATAACATACATATGGCATAGTAACATGAGAGCTACAGATATTATCCAATACTGACACACTTTCTTCGACGAGGATTGGATGATGTGAGAGCTGCCTCGTTTCATAAATCCTAACACACAGACGGAAAAACACGCTGTAGCCGCTCTACACCGCCACGAGACAAACACTGTGGATTGAGACAGGTATGCCATCAACTGCAGCAATTACCATAGTCTTTTGTACCATTGTTATTCTTATTTCCTTCACTCGTGAACATGCGGGGTAGAATAGGTCTTCTGCAACCCATGCTTGCCGTAAAAGGCGACTATGCTTGTCGTAAAAGGCGACTAACGGGATCGGTGGTCAAACTCGCTGACTTGGTTGATGCATGTCATTGTATCCCAATTGCGTGGATCGATGCTCATGATATTAATCAGTGTATTGTCTTGTCCAGACTCGATTATTTACAGACCGCAGTCATATACCTGGAATATTGTTGAGACAACAAACAAACCAAAGCAAATCTTATTTCCTTTTGTGTTGTAAGGGGTATCCCAGTAGTCCTGAATTGAGGTGAAATAGGGTTTAACGTCGCGTTCAGATTGTTACACTTATATATCGACGTGCATGTACGTGTGTGTGTGGCTGTATGAACTAGTCCGGACCATTGCCGGTTTTATAATGCTAGCCCACTGCTACCATACCGTAGTTTAACTACTTAACGTCGAGCGACAGGCATGGTAACAACAAGTACCGTTTAGTATACCGCGGCCGGTATCGAACGCCCCACCTATCGCTCTCTGGGTATGTATCGAGTTGTATATGTGAGAAGAAGGAAGACTTTGAAGACAACCTGGTTGGGCGTAGCCTTCACATGGAGGTTAAAATAGTGGATGAACAGTACACGGATGTTGGAGCAGGTAAAGATGTTGAATCGTGGACATCATGAGTTCAAGGGATACATCGACAGCCGTGAAGCTACGAAAACACCTGTTACAAATGACATTGGACAGTTTGAAAGAAGGGGAGTCTCCTTATATTTTTGAGGCCATGTGAACCCGTGAACATCCGGCGTAGAATGGGTCTTCAGCAACCCATGCCTGCCGTAAAAGGTGACTATGCTTGTCGTTAAAGGCGACTAACGGGATCGGGTGGTCTAACTCGCTGACTTGGTTGATGCATGTCATCGATCTCAGTTGCGTGGATCGATGCTCTTGATGTCAATCACTGGATTGTCTGGTCTAGACTCGATTATTTTACAGACCGCCGTCATATAGCTGGAATATACTTCATTCGCTCTTTCTGACTGTTACCTGGCATACATTGGGTGCAACAGGTTGAACCACTGGTTGTGCTTAGGTGTGTATTTTGGGTGACTAACCATAATATTCAATCTTAAACTTTTCATTGCTTTTAACAGTCGTTGTCCATATACATAAGCAACATGTTCTTCAACTGTTAATCACATGCTCAAACCTATTGGCGCTTCTTGGTATCATGTTTATGTTTGACACCCACCCTACATACGGACCGCCTCCGTGGTCTAGTGGTAGAGCGTCCGCCCGGAGAGCGGAAGGTCCGGGGTTCGATCCCTGGCCGCGTCATACCAAAAGACGTTAAAAGATGGTACTTGTTGTTACCCTGTCTGGCGCTCGACATTAAGGGGTCTGGTCGGCTCGGAGTCAGTATACTGTGTCTGAGTGGGGTATTCATGTTAAACTGCGGCATGTTATCTCAGTGAGCTAGCACTATAAATCGGCATCAGTCCGGACTAGTACAAGCGGCCACACAAACACACACACGTGCATGCACGTCGCCATATAAGTGCAATAATCTTGGACGCGACGTCAAACCCCATTTCACCTCACCTCACCACCCTACATACCTACAATGTCGGTGACCATTCATTAACGCTGATATTGCCCTCTGCCACGGGTTTACTTGGCCAGGATTACATACATAAAATAGTTCTGGAGCGAATAATTTGGCTACAGCGTAAAACAATATTCACTCATTCTCACATTGATATGGCATGAAAAGAAAGATTTGGATTGTGTGATCATGGTGAAGATAGATTTGTAAGAAACCTAGCTACATTATATAATGGGGACTAACACCTTTCACTGTGGATCCCCTGTGGATGAAATGATGGTGTCCGTATGGGATCAGTTATCTTCTCATTGCTTAAAACAAAATGTTTCACATCATGACAGTTATACCATTCTCAACTTCCAGCGGGGGCCATGGGTGGCCCAGTCGTCTATGGCGCCGCGATTCGGTGTGCAGAGGTGCGTCCCTTGGGCACGCCAGAAACATATGATTGTGGGTTCGAATCCCGGTTCGCCCCGATTATGTTTCTAGGTTTGTCAGCACCATACCCGTGCTCGTGGGTTTCACCGAAGTGGTAAACGTCTGAGACTTGCATCACTTCAGGCTTTCCTCCCACATTAAGCTGACTCGCCGCGATATAACTGGAATACTGTTAAAAGTGGCGTTAAAACTCAACTCACTAACTACCTCAACTTCGAGCATCATGTCTGTGGATGAGGTTCAACAAACAATTTCAGCCAGAGTGAAGCTATGGGCAGAAACCCGCCCAGACAAGCAATGGACAGAAACCCACCCAGACAAGCAATGGGCAGAAACCCGCCAAGACAAGCAATGGGCAGAAACCCACCCAGACAAGCAATAGCTTGTCTACTACAGAAATGAAGGAAGGCGTGTTCTCACGTGTACAAAAATACACCTCTCCCCAAAATGTTCTGCAGTGTGGGGATTGGAAACGTGGAAATGGAATCTGCAATACTTTGCTCAACTCTCCCGAACGTCTTATCGGTGGAGTTGGGAAGAGGGCGATTACCTGGAGACGCTACATACGGAAGGAGATCCAGTTCCAGTGTAGCGGCCAACCCTTAAAAGGCGGCTTATTTAAAGAGTAACCCCACCCCACAAATTGTCATTGATGCATTAGAAAATGATGGCTGTTGTGATTTCTGTTGGTGGCAGACATTTTTTTATGGTGGTTAAATACACATTTTTTTCAAAATTAAGTAAATCAAATAAATTGCTCAATACAAGTATATTACATACAGGAATGCTCATTTTATCACAAAAACCAATGAGCTGGCTTAGGAGACCTGGAAAAGAATAGTTAACAATCAGCAAATTGGTTAAATATTGTTTTGAACCAAAAATGTGTAGAAAACATGAAAAACATTCTATTTTCATTTTCAAATTATTACGAAACTGAACGTCTATATTGACAATCATGTTCAATATCTCAAAATCTGCCTGAATGCTTTAGGAGCTCATGAAAAATTCTATAACTAATTTAGGAATAATATAATGTATGAAAATTTAGTTTTTGTGACCCTATTCTATTATTTTAAAAAATATGTATATATTATTACATATTAAAACCATTCACTATGATAACACTCAAATTCCTGAACACAAAATTGTTTTATTTAAACACATGAATATGAGCTTGAAAAATTTGTCAGCAATATTCCAGCTATATGACGGAGGTCTGCAAATAATCGAGTCTGGACCAGACAATCCAGTGATTGATATCATGAGCATCGATGGACGCAATTGGGAATCGATGACATGCATCAACCAAGTCAGCGAGCCTGACCACCCGATCCCGTTAGTCGCCTTTTACGACAAGCATAGTCACCTTTTACGGCAAGCATGGGTTGCTGAAGACCTATTCTACCCCGGAATCTTCACGGGTCACCGACGTCAAGGTGAACGTTATGTGCGACCGTGTGTTATTGAACGAGATCGCTTTGGTGGTGGAGGAGTAATGGTTTGGGGAGCAATAAATGCTGTGTTTAGATAACAGCTTGTTATTGTGCAAGGTAACTTGACGGCACGACGTTACGTGGATACTGTTCTACAGCCAGTTCTTCTTCCTCTCTTAAGACAGCTTGGTGGAAACCGGCTAGTGTTTCAGCATGACAATGCTAGGCCCCATACTGCCATCCTGACACGGAATTTTCTTCAGAGAAACAACGTGGAGGTCATGCAGTGGCCCTCAAGGTCACCAGACATGAACCCAATTGAGCACCTGTGGGACGAACTTGGTAGGGGTGTGAGACGACAGCAGATTCCGCCCCGCAATGTTGCTGAGCTCACTCAGGCATTGCAGTATCACTGGAACGCAATCCCGGCTCATTTCATCCGTCGTTTATGTGATTCCATGCCAAGGCGTTTGCAAGCTTGTGTTCGTGCTCAAGGTGGACACACCAGGTACTGAGGGTCTGTTCAATCTCTCTCCTGTAAATGGGGTTGGAACTGATGATATTGGACACTGCTTTATGCAGAATTTTTCTATCGTGATAAGTCTTTACTAATATACTTAACACAAGCTTTGAAATTTTCTTATGTAAATAAAATTCACGTTTGAAAATTGGATAATCATTTGTTCTTACTTTTGACAACTTTGGACAGTCTAGTCATCCGAACTGTACGCGTTTTGTGGTTTAAGTGACTTTCTCTTATGAAGAATCAGTGTAATTACAAATATAATCCTAATAGTGCATTCCTTGGGTATATAGAGCAATAGTGTATTCATAAATAGTCTGATTTAAATGTCAGATTCTGAGATTAACATACCTTTATGAGATCTCGTCCACAGTATCATCTGCTTGTCCATTTGTGAGGGGAGCAGTTATTATTTCGTTGTGCACATATGTTGTTTGTTTCTTCGTATATTCTATTGGGTTTCGCCTAGCATACCCAGAACAAGTATTGTGCATGTACATTTGTAGCATTTTTATACTGTTTATGTATTAATTTAGAGTGAGTGTGGTTTTACGCCGCTTTTATCAATATTCCAGCAACATCACGGCGGGGGACACCAGAAATGGTTTTCACACATTGTACCCATGTCGGGAATCGAACCCCGGTCTTCGGCGTAACGAGCGAACGCTTTAACCACTAGGCTGCCCGACCGCCCCTATTAACTTAGAACTTGACCTTCAAAGTGTTATTGACCTTCAAATTGACCACTACGGTGGTATAAAAAAAGCATTGATTGTAGGCAAACCTTGAATAACATACTATGTAGAGAATGGTATGTACATGGTATAAACAGTGATTTGAATGTGTTGTATTCAGCCATTATTAATGACGTTAACAATGTGATTAAAAAGTTTCACTGTTTGACAAAATGATGGGGTGGGATAACATGTGGAAGTTTTGTGGAATATGAACACTGCCATCTCATAATAAGGCGTGTCCGCTCATTTTGCGATATCAAATCGCTTGGTTGATAATGCTTTTTTTTATTGCAGTTCATTTTCCAATAATTGCAAAACGAAAATAGAGCAAACTTTACCATTTTTTGGCTTATTCTAACTCAATATGTGCTTGTGTTACATACAAAAATACAATTCAAAGCTACTGTGTGTAAACTATCAAGTTGATGATAAAAAGGACACAATGCACACAATACCTTTTTTTATGGTCTTTATTTGATTTTCACAACAGAAATGTGCATTTTGCCCCAAAACATTATCTGCCATAAACAAATTGACACAACCATCAGACTGCTGGATACAAAACCGCGCGGCAGGACATATTGTTGACATTATGATGCTATGTTTCACACATCGTTTCCTCACCGACTAAGGAACTCAATTTGTGATATAAATGACCATTGACACATTTCCGGAGAAAAAGGAGTAAAAAATGAATCAGCATCCGTTTCACTAGAACTTGTTAATGAAGGTCGAGAATCCTTGCAAGAAGTGCTGCGTGACTACAATCCATGTGAAATTTTTAACTGTGATGAAACGGGTTTATTCTACAATTGAACCAAATTCAACACTCAGTAGTGTCCCCGTTTCTGGCAAAAAGCAGGCCAAAGATCGTTTGACTGTTATGTTGACATGCAATGCGGCAGGTACTGAGAAGCTAAAACCATTGGTCATTCACAAATACAACAGGCCACGTTGTTTTGGTAGATCATTTGATCCCACATCAGTTTGCCACTGGTATGTAAACAAAAAAGCATGGGTGATCTCATTAATATTCAAAGCCTGGCTACTGATCTTGGTTCGGCAAAAGCGATGGGGGCGACGTCACGTGGTATTGCTGTTGGACAACAACCCATCCCATGCTACTGTCGACACTAATTATGTCAAATGTCATTTTCTGCCAACCAACACCTCATCGCACATTCAGCCACTAGATTCCGGAATAATAAAGAACTTCAAGCTGTATCACAAAACAAAAAACAGCAAATGAAATTACACCTAGACAACGTTGATGCTGAAGTACCACAAGTCCTAGACGTCAAGCGAGCTTTCCTTTTTATCTACACTGCTTAAGTAAAACAAGACACAATCATCAACAGTTGGCGCCACAACCGTATTCTCCCCGATGCGACTGTTACAGCTGAACCTGTCATCGCCGACCTCGAAGCCATCAATGAGATTAAAACAACATTCAACACCATGTACAGCGACACAGCATCGAGCGAAGGTTTTTGACCGCCAATGACCACATCCGCTGTGAGGAAGAAATGACTAACGATACCATCGTTGACATCGTTTGCAGGCAGACTGACGATATCATAGAAGATGAAGTTGGCGACAGGGAGCATCCAATTATTCCACCACCAGCAACCATCAAGGCACATCTCGCTCAAGTTGCATGCTTCGTTGAAAACCACTTGGATGTGTTTTCCATACGGACTTGATCTTAATTGCAAAAAATGCAGGCGTCTTTGAGAAATGTGTCATAAAGAAATGGGAAATAGAAAACACTGAAAGACTATTTTCAGAAGATGATATGTCAATCAAAGCAAGTAGTCAAGACAGTTGCATTGGCATCCTACAGTATAAACGTGTGTTGTTGATGTGATGAATTCACAGTGAGTAATGTCTCACTTGTTATGTAAAAATGGGAAAATTAGTTCTATGTTTGCAATGTCATTAATCATAAATGAAGGAAGGAAGGAATAAAATACAAAAGAATATGAAATATTTCGTTTTCATGATTTTATTACAAGGTAAACATGGTTCCTATCTATCGTAACCCGTGAAGATCCGGGGTGGTCAGGTTCGCTGACTTGGTTGATGCATGTCATCGATCCCAATTGCGTGGATCGATGCTCATGATATCAATTATTGGATTGTCTGGTCCAGACTCGATTATTTACAGACCGCCGTCATATAGCTGGATTATTGCTGAGTGCGGCGTTAAACAGCAAACCAACCAAAAATCCTATCTATCGTGAAGATGCCCGAATTTTCATCACAAATCACCAAATTTCGTTTATCCGTCATACTCGTTAATCAGACATAATACTATGCAACCAACCATGTCGGATTAACGGGACTTGTCTGTATAGTTTTATCCTTTAAACTCACTGATAAGAAAGAAGTTCAGTGTACAAATGGTCATTGTTTAATTGTGTTAAGGAGAATGTCCAAGGGTTTAACAGGGTACGTGTGCAGCGAAACATGACCATGAACGAAGGTTTGTTTCCTGGGATGCGATCAAGCGTGTAATTGTAGGTGTAACATAAAAGTAGGTATGTTCTCTGATCTAATTGGTTAAAAAGTGTTGTTGAATGAGCATAACATCACTTATTTTTTTTGTCTCATCACCGTGTATGTGTACATAAATTAATGGAACTGTTTCGAAATCATCAACGTGTGGGACCAGATGGAAATTTTCCCTGATTTGCAGATGGAAAATTTCGATCAAATGTTGAGCGAATGGGACGACGAGACATTTTCTGAGATGTTTCAGGACATTGAAGGTAATTAAAATTTACCTTTTTCCATTTATTACACAATCATAATCATAATTGATGTAATTGTCTTGAGCATGGCCAAAGGGGCTAAAAAAAAAATCAGTTTCTAACAGGGTAAAAAAAACATTTATTGCAACTCTATAACAGTCAAGACTTTCATACACCCACCTAATGTTGTTATTATTATTACTCACAACAGCTGTTGAAGCTGAAAACCGTTCTGAGAAGGCCCCTGAACTAGGAAATACAGCCAGCGTTCCCGGAGAGCCCAGCGTTCAAGCATCAAGTGACTGCTTCACGTCATGGATAGAACCTCTCGAAATCTACTGGGCACAATTCCTCCTGGGGAGTTAAAATATTTTGACGTAAGACATTGCAACACACAAGAATACATTAACACATTCCTAAAATTCCAATGCAGACTTAACATCCCTTACACCTCTGCCTTACAACAATGTAAAGCATGTCAATGTGTCATCGCAAAAATTAAATATTTCGTTTTGTAAGATTTGAATACTGTTATGCTGAATGGATGTACGGAAATTTCATTTAAGCATGACACTGTTATAAAAACAAATTACTCCCACTTACTGTCACATGTGTACCCTGGACAAGGCAATCCTTTCACTTCCAGAGTGGTTTGGTTTCCAGGGTTTGGAACCAAAGTTCAAAGAGCTCCCTGCTTCTCAACTGAATTAGAGAGACTGAGGTTCTTTTATGCCCAAGTCAGAAATGCTGAGGGAAATCTTTACTCCAAATCGAGTCTAAGTTTGGTTGCGAGCTGCCATACCCAGGCACATCAGGGGACCGCCATTTGAGCGTAACATAAACAATAACCAAGACAGGAAATTTCACACTGCAAACAATGTTTGTTTGTCCATGATAAAAAAAAACTTAAGCACAATGGCCTTGACCAGAAAACACATCATGCTGCTATCCCCGAGAATGATTTAAAAATAATTTGTGAAAATTTTGATACTGAAACCCCTTCTGGCTTGATTCGTAACGTGTGGTTCGATCTTACACTCGGTTTTGCCGTTGTGGTAACAAAAAACGAAGGGAACTTCATCTGCCGTCGACTACCTTCGTGTATCCAAACAAAGACTCAAATTGGCCCAACAAACGCATTTATGCAACATCGGACCAATTCAGTCCTGTACCTTCATTAAAAAACTACATGTCTCTCCTCAATCCCAACAGCAATACTTTTCACCAGGCCCCCAAGAGACGAGTTGACGTCGACGACACTCAGTGGTACAGCAGGAGGCTTGTTCGTGTAAAGGTCATTGTCAACATGATGAAAGACATTTCTACCAACGCTGGTCTCAATCGCGAGATCTACAAAATAACCGGCCACAAAACCAATGAATCGATGAAGTCATATTCCAATGACTGGAACCTGTCCAAAATAGAAGTATCCTGCCACTGTCCCCTGCTCCTGTGAATTACTTCTGCAACTTCCCGTGGTCTCTTTCTCATTCCAATGTAATATTAAACAAGTGATTCCATCCCAGCAAAAGCTGCATGTCTAAACTCTCCCACGTTTGACGTCTCTTTGTCACCACCTCAGTTTCAGGCGAGTTGACACTATCGTTGATAGGGGTCAAACAGTATTATGTCTTTTTCTAAGTTTGATCATTTGTATCTTAACGACATATTACAATTGATATGAGGAACTGTGATAAAGAATTGAACTTGTTATGTTTCCTGTTATTTTGTTCTGAGAAATGGGCTTGAACATGTGACCACCTCTTTTATAAAATGAACCATCATTATTGGAGTACCTCTAAACCAGTGACCAGTTTCTCAGCACCCAATATCATGCATGTTCTCGAAGGTGAGCACGAGGAGACGTATTGCTAACGACAGTTTTGTTACGTCTTTTGCTCAGTTGGTTGGTTGGTTGGTTGTTCAACGCCGCACTCAGCAATATTCCAGCTATATGACGGCGGTCTGTAAATAGTCGAGACTGGACCAGACAATCTTTGTTATCAACAATGACACAACATATCAAAATTGATGATACTATAACTATATTTATTCTAATAACAGGTACAAGTACGTGTCGCGCAATATCATAAATCACGATGGCAGATTCAACAGGCAACAAAAGCATACCATCAAGAATACATAAATGGGCAGAAACCAAACCAGACATGTAAGGGTTTGTTTTCTACAGTGATGAAGGAAGACGTGCTCTCACCTGTAAAGATATACACAACCTCTCCACAAAGTTTGCTGCAATCCTTCAGCGTCGGGGGTTGAAACATGGAGACGTGGTCTGCAATACTCTCACCAACTCTCCCGAACGTCTTATCACCGATTTTGGCATCATGGCAGCTGGGTGTGTTGCTGCCAATGCCCAGGCACTGTTGGGAGATGGTACTGATCTGTTGCATGTGATCAACTTGAGTCGCTGTCGTCTACTGATTGGCGACAACTCACAACCTGGGAGTGCTTGGGATCTTCTCAAACCACATCTGGGAAAAATCATGGATTTGAAAGTGAAATCAATCAATGCTCCTAAACTGGAAATGGTGGAGTTTGTTGGTGTGAAGGGAGGTGGCGACTACCTGGAGATGTTGCATCAGGAAGGAGATCCAGTTCCAGTTGAGATACTACCAACAGACACAGCTCTGTATTGGGCAACTTCGGGCAGCACTGGCTTTTCAAAACTTGTGCCAAAAACACATGAGGCTATGCTCCTCCTTGCTAGCCGTTTTACGGAGATGTTTCGAATCCACAATGAAAATGATGTACTGTACAATGATCGGCCTTTGGGTTGGGCAGGTGGGTGGCCTTATGGATTAATTGACAAGGCAGTCCCACATGTAATGACAGACACGCGAGGTTCTGTTCTAGATCAATGTAAGCTGACTTGGGATGCGCTTAGCAAAGAAAGGTGTACTATTGCTATGCTTTCAATAGCTTTCATGAAGAAACTTGCAGAAAGAAGAAATAAGGAAAACTCAGATGATGTGATTCAAAGATTGATGTGCCTTGCTTCAGGGCAACCTTTTGCCGGAAACTGCTTTGAGTTTGTTGGTAAGATATGTCACTCTGTGGCAAATGGATATGGAATGACAGAAGTTGGGTATGTATCAAGTTGTATTTGTGAGAAGGAGGAAGACTTTGAAGACAACCTGGTTGGATGTAACTCTCACTTAGGGGTTAAGGTAGTAGATGAACAGCTTAAAGATCTTGGAGCAGGCAAGGACGGACAAGTCCTGCTTCATGGACAGTGTGTGTTCAAGGGATACATTAATAATCCTGAGGCTACAAAAGCAGCTTTTACAGATGACGGCTGGTTTAAAACAGATGATGTGGGCCATTTTGATGAGAAGGGGCGTCTTTTTGTCGAAGGAAGACGCTCAGATGCCATTATGCATGGAGAGTACATCATATACCCATCCTGGGTGGAGAAGAAGTTGAGAACCTGTCCCTATATTTCTGAGGTTATGGTGGTCCCCGTTCCTCATCCAGACATGTGTCATGAGGTCTGTGCCTGTGTCATACCCAAACCAAACATGGATGTCACCACCAAGATGATCAAAGATTACTGTGACCCAATATTCATCAGCGATTCCCTCCATGAAATGTCAGCCAAACCAGCCTACTATGTTCTGTTTGAGAGTTTCCCTCTCAGACCAACAGGCAAACCTGACAGACGGGCATTATCAGAAATAGCGGACAAAATGACCTCAGTCAGCCTTTAAATTCCTGTCCAACCCGCACCAGTGGGCTGCAAGGGCCGACAAAACTACTGTGCAGCAGGGAGATAGCATTTGGTACCTCTTAGAGAGTTATTTAACCACAATTTAAAGAGTAACCAATACCATTATCCATACACAGTCAAAATAGGAGTCGAGATGTGTAATCAGAATACGCTTTAGTGGATTTAGTATTATGATCATTTTATCACGCCAACACCAGTATATATTTGTTATGGACAGTTTCCCTCTTAACGTTCTCAAATATGGTTCTACAAATTATACAGGGGTATTGGTAATGGTATTTAGGCAGTGTATTATCCTAATAATGATGTCAAATATTCACTATTATAGTAAGGGAATATAATCAGAATATATCGTGTGAAGATTATTGTGACCCAGTTCCTGGATTCCCTCCATGAAATATCTGCCAACCACGTTCTGGTGGAAAATTTCCCTCTCAGACCAACGGGGTAAACTGACAGACGGGCATTTTCAGAAATAGCGGCAAAAATGACTACAATCAGATCCTAAATTCCTGTCCATCCTGCACCATTTGTTGGTAAGATTTATAACTTTGCAACATCGGCATATGGAATCACAGAAGCTGGGTTTGTATCAAGATGTATTTGTGAGGAGGAACACTTTGAAGACAACCTGGTTGGACGTAGCCTTCACATGGAGGTTAAAGTAGTTAAAGAAAAGTTGGAGCAGGTAAAGATGGGCAGGTGTTGATTCGTGGACATCATGAGTTCAAGGAATTCATCAACAATCGTGAAGCTACGAAAGCACCTGTTACAGATGACGGCTGGTTTAAAACAAGTCATATTGAACATTCTGGTGAGAAGGGCGTCTCCCTACATTTCTGAGGTCATGTTTCATATTTCTTCAGCAATCCCTCCATGAAATATCTCTCAAACCAGCCTACTATGTTCTGGGGGACAATTTCTCTCTCAGACCAACAGGCAAACCTGACAGGTGGACATTATCAGAAAGAGCGGCAAGAATGACCTCGACCAGGATTTCATTTGCCCTTTGACAATTGATCTGAAAGGGCTAGTGACAAGTCCATTCGGCGGAACGATATTTGATACTACCTTTTCATGGTGTTTTTTGGAACAGGTGTTTCAGGTCAAAAGCTTTGTTATACTTATTCGTGGTGTGGATATGTGACTTAACAGTCAAGGGATATATAATCAGATAATAAAGACATCACACCACCGTGAGCTTTTACAAATATTATTGTGTTTTGCAGTATTTGTTTGTTTGTTGTTGAACGCTGCACTCAGCAATATTCCAACAACATGACGTCAGTCTGTAAACAATCGAATCTGGATCAGACAATCAAGTGATTGACAAAATGAGCATCGATCTACGCAATTTGGGATACGATGTCATCTACGCAATTTGGGATACGATGACATGCATTAACCAAGTCAGCGAGCCTGACCACCCGACCCGTTCGTCGCCTCTGATGACAAACATGGGCTGCTGAAGACCTATTCTAACCCGGATCTTCACGGGTGTTTGCAGTAAATGAATCAAGTATATCATGATACCTTAGTTCTACCCCATCAGTAAACAAGCATGAAATACTCACATTCCCCGCCAATATGACATGTCGGGTGTGTGCAATGCATTAGCTCCTGTAAACTATGTTCACTGGGCCTTTTTGTAAATGGCCTAATTGCAGCACTAAAATAAGGTTATTACTGGTGTTGTTTTTCCATCTGCATTTTATGATAGAATATGTTACTGAATTTGTAATGAGTAAGGATGAGACATATGGACGAACAACTTCTTTATTAGAATAAGGAGCGAAGGTTTCGGTGTAGGTTCTAACACCATTATCAAGCAAGTGAAGTACAGAGTATGGTTGACAAGAATATATATTGCTTATACAGTTGAGTAGGTTTAAGATCAGTTACACTGTTTCTGTATGACTGACTGACTGAGTATGGTTTTACGCCGCTTTTAGCAATATTCCAGCAATATCACGGCGGTGGACACCAGAAATGGGCTTCACACATTGTACCCATGTCGGGAATCGAACCCGGGTCTTCGGCGTGACGAGCGAACACTTTAACCACTAGGCTACCCGACCGCCCCGTTTCTGTATGAAGTTAGTCAGTGAATGCAACAACTGTGTCCATGACACTTTTGGAGGAACATACACACAAGCAATGCAGAACTTACCAACAAGAAAGGAAATGTATTCAATACTGTGAGATGACATGTGCCAAGCTTGGTAAAGAAATATAGTACGTTTTTCAAGATCTGCTCCGGAAACGAGGACTACCGCCATTTTCAGTCAAAGTCGTTGCCATGGAAACTCCAAAAATAATTTCTTTAAAAATCCCAAACTATCAAAAGGCACCAGTTCACCACTAGATCTATCTATGTGCCAAGTTTGGTGAAGAAATATGGTACGGTTTTCAAAATCTGCTCCGGAAACGAAATGAGACGGACGGACGGACGGCACCCATTCCTATATCCCCCTTCCACTTTGTGGCGGGGATAATAAAGCGACAAAACCCTTACCATATCCAACAAATATCTGCATAAAGCAGAGTCGATTGTGCGAAACGTCGGAGACCCGCATCACTTCGACTGGAATACTGTTAAAAGCGGCGTAAAACCCAACTCACTCACTCACTATAACCTGTCATCCCCACAAGGAAAGAACGTATCCCCGTGTTATGGTTTTCGGACAGTCGTAGTTTTCTCGCTAGTCACGAGAACAACCATAACACATCTCACTCACTTATAAAAGACAATTTTATCTTACGAAATAGACCATCATCTGAGTATTTACAATGCCTGTGTGAACCCTCGTTATAGCGGGAGGACTCGCGATACACTTGGACGTCCGAAAACGTATGTCCGAAAACCTATGAACTGACGATATGTTGATTTCCAAGAAATGACTTGTTGATTCCAAGCAGTGCAAATATGCAACAGGTCCCCATGTCATGAAATATCTACAGAGGTTATTTCATCAGTAGCTTTTGAACAAGAGTGCTCTGAGGGCACCACATCCCCCGCATGAATTTTTTTAACGAGTTTATATTTTCCTTGTATTTTATGAAATAACAACAGTAGATGGCACTGCATTTGAAACAAATTGTGCAGAATATTTTGTTGGGAGTAATCCAGTCTGAATGCTAATGCCATAAGGATGTAGTTTACCTACAAAAGCCTTATACAAGGAAACTAACTATAGTTATAGTTATAGTTAGATATTGGGATATTCTCTGGAAACTGGAGTAGATTTCATGAAGCTCCGTAAAACAGGGACAGTAACTCTGTCAAAATTAGTCGAAATGAAACGGGACTGCGATGCGTATCATTAACATGTCGACATCTTGTGTGTAGTGTCAGGGATATTCTCTGGAAACTGTAGGAGTTGATTTCACAAGCTTAGTACCCTCTGTGGGACGGATTGCGCCACGACAATCCCCCTTCGGCCATTCTGGCCCGGCGGGGGATAAAAACTATTTATTTTGTAACCACAATTTGGAACTAGTGAAGAATATAAGTAATTAATCATCAACCTGAGTAATATGTTTTTATGTTTGTTCACAACCTCCGACCCCTTGCGGCACATTCTAAGATGGCTGACCTATTTGTCCATGTGAAAGTATATGTTCCAAGCGAGTACCATTTTCAAAGCGCTCTGGTTGTTATGGTAGAATGGTGGTAAACCTATTGTGTTTTTAAATTTGAGATCAGTCGAACTGTAGCCATTTCTGGTGTGCCCATCGCAACATTGCTGGAATATTGCTAAAAATGCACTCTCACTCACACACCGAAAAACAGAAATGTTTGGTCTGACCTTACCAGTATCTATATTCAATCAAATATTCTTTGACAAAGTTGGTTGGTTGGTTGATTGGTTGGTTTTGTTGTTTAATGCCGCACTCAGCAATATTCCAGCTCTATGACGGCGGTCTGTAAATAATCGAGTCTGGACCCGACGATCCAGTGATCAATATCATGAGCATCGATCCACGCAATTGGAATCGATGACAGGCATCAACCTAGTCAGCGAGCCTGACCACCCGATCCTGTTAGTCGTCGCCTTTTATGACAAGCATGGGTTGCTGAAGACCTATTCTACCCCGGAATCTTCACGGGTCTCTCTTTTACAAAGAACAAGAAGACATTTACATATAAATATTTATTTGCTAGTTTATTTTACATTTCAGGAGATAAAGTGTACCTTCAGGTCCTACTGAGGAAGAATATATCGATATGTACAATTATTACCTACGTGGGCAAACATATCAGGGTTCATAAAAATCATATGTGCCCAAGGGTCACATCACGTCACGAGACAACATTGTATTGTTCATCCCGACGGCATTATGGACGTCATTCGAATAGTATTGTGACGTATGTTTGGCATGAGTTCACACTAGAAACATCAGATCTGAAGATTGATGTGATTTGACAAATTGTGGTTCTGCTGCTGTTGGGACTTGCTGTCCTCATAGGTAAACACTAAAGTTTGTCTATGTAGACATCTTCTTCGGTAATAAATAGAACATTATATTCCCATTCATGTCAAACAATGTTTACGACACTCATGCCTAAAATCTGATTTTCCCCTCGCTCTCACTTGCGAAATACAGGAATTGAGGACACTTTTGTTATAAACATAGTATGACATGAACACACGTATAATATCCTCTATATATTACATAGCACTGGTGCCACAAGGCTAAACAACAGACTACATGCAACACTATGGAAAGTTCACATAGAAAATCACTGTATTCTTAAACCATAGAAAACATAGATCTATGTTAATAAACAAATAACAGCATCAAGTCTTGCAAAATGCATATTCAGTTTTCCAGTGTGTTACATCTACATTCATGAACCATGGCTTTCTTTCAGAAGTGATGTCACCTTCTCCTTATCTGGTATCACTAACAGAATATCATTTCTCTCGCTTTTGTTTTTTAAAGAGGTGACATTAGAATCTGGCTAAACATGAAACTTAGGCAGCTAATTGATCCCTGGGCCCTGTTCCACAAAGCGATCGTAGTGCTACGACGGAAGTCTTTGTTAAAGTATAGGAGTTACGACCGTCTTAGAGCTACGAGCGCTTTGTGGAATGGAGCCCTGGTCGTTATCAAAATGGAATGGAGATATACACTAAGTGATTGAGGATGTGCCAAATGAAACTTTTTCAATCTTGTTGGCCCATTTGAGATAAAAAAGAGTTAAGCTAGAATTTATTAGAATCTCCTGTCTTATTTTATCAGGGTCTCCGAACTTCTGTGCAGGCAATATTTTGTTAGTTGCTGCCTGCAATGTGATCGTCACGATATGGCTAAAGAATTGCCGATGTGACGTTAAGTTTTAACTCACTCACTGCAATGTGACCTCTGGGTGTGTGCATCCAGCTCTAAAGGAGGTTACACTCGAAGGACTTGTGCAGCAATGGTGGACGTGGGCTGTTTGTTGTCTGTTGCATTTGAGGGAAGCACAAGTCTGCAGTATGTGCCGCCAACTTGACCCTTGGCCACACGTCCAGGGTTGACCACACAACACCCCTTGACGTCCTGCAACAGATTCATGTTACAGTTATTTAGATTTCAAATCATAACCAGAGATGCCTGTTCCACAAAGTGATCTTAGTGCTATATCATGACTATTGTAAGCTTATGTTGAAGTATGGGAGTTACAACTGTCTTAGTACTAAGATAGCTTTGAGGAACGGCCCAAGAACGTTCTGGTGGACTTGTTTTGCCACACAGCTCAACATTCAGTAGGTGAGTGATGTTATTTGTTTGTTTGTTTGTTGTTTAACGCCGCAATATTCCAGCTTTTTGACAGCGGTCTATAAATATTCTGGACCAGACAATCCAGTGATTGACATCATGATAATCGATCCACTCAATTAGGATACGATGACATGCATCAACCAAGTCAGCGAGCCTGACCATCCAATCCCGTTAGTCGCCTCTTACAACAAGCATAGTCGCTTCTTACAACAAGCATGGTCGCTTCTTACGGCAAGTATGGTTGCTGAAGACCTGTTCGCTACAATGTCTACCAAGATCTCCACGGTCAAGTGATGATGTTATACTGCACAGACTTCTTGATTTACTTGTTGATGAGGTCCAGTCAGAATATTACTGTACAAACTGTGAGATGTAAGTAAACTGCAGCACTACAGGCCTGACCATGTAAGATGCAGTTACATGCACCTTTATGTGGTGCTTCAGGCAACCATTGGCTCAAGTTACATTACTTACAAACAGAGTTATGTTGATGATTTTGTTACCTTGACGAAGTATCTCAGATCTGAGGGCACGACCAGCACATGTGGCGTCACTGGCATACGGCCGTACACTTCGAAGTGGTCGTAGTCGACGTTGACATCTTCATGTGGTGGATACAGTGGATAGTAGCTGCAACAGCAAATTATAGTATTGACATAATTTGTTTTGTTTGTTTATTGTTTAACACCACACTCAGCAATATTACAGCTACATGATGGCGGTCTGTAAATAATCGAGTCTGGACCAGACAACCCAGTGATCGACATCATGAGGCAATTTCTAAATTTAGGCTTGTTTTGGGATGTATTTCAAATGCAAACAATTTTGCAGAAGTACTTCTTGGTATCTTACCTGTGTTGGCAGAGCATGTGCTGGGCCAAGCGTCCCAGTCTGTCAGCTGAACCTGGAGGGCTGAAGTATGACACACATATCAGTTATATCGGAACAAGTAAAATCCTAGATATTTTTTATATTTGTTGGTTGGTTGGTTTGTTGCTTAACGCCGCACTCAGCAATATTCCAGCTATATGACAGCGGTCTGTAAATAATCGAGTCTTGACCAGACATGCCACTGAATGACACTGTGACCAACGGTCCACCCTGTCGGCCTACGACAACACACAATCAGCAGTCACCAAACAATCGATTCCTCAGGTCACCTGTCACAACCAGCACAGGAACCATGTCGATACACGACACGAGTGCCAGGCAGGGTAATAACAAGTACCATCTTGTAAAGTTTTTGGTAGGACGCGGCCAGAGATCAAACCCCGGACCTTCCGCTCTCTGGACAGATGCTCTACCACTAGACCGCAGAGGCGGTCTCCCCAGAATAGTAAAACACTAGTCTTTCCAGACCTTGACCTTTGGGGCAAGCCGACTTGCGGCATGTCCAAGCCTGCTAAGTGTCCTACTCACAAGGATATCTCCTCCTGACCCAGATGGAACAAGACGTCTGTAGAAGTGATCCCAAAAACTGTGTTGTTGATCTGTAGTGTGCAGGGGTCGGACACAAACATCACATTCTGTACAACAAACCAGAAGAATTAAACACAGCTTGACACAGTTGACAATACTTAGATCATCTTTATATATTAACCCATGATAATATCAATGAGATTTCACTTTAATATTTTGGACTGACCTTTGCCTCAAAGTTTTTAACATTCATCTGTAACGGGGGCTGAGGGTAGACCGCTGAATGATGAACATCTCTGCCTGATGGTACCACGATGAGCTTACACTTCATCCTGCAAAATAATTTGTTGGTTTGTCGTTTAACGGCGCACTAAGCAATAATCCAGCTATATGACGGCAGTCTGTCAATAATTGAGTCTTGACCAGACAATCAAGTGATAGACATCATGAGCATTGACAAGGGCTGGGACAAGTCCGAATTTCCCGACCCTAGCTGGGTACCCACCGTAGGTCTCAGGAGATAGGTACAAAATGTCCGATGGGGCATTTTGTTACCATAGCACTGGCACGACATATTTTGATACATGTGTTAAACAATCTGGTCATGCATACACTGTATTGACTCTTTATTCAAAGATATGAAAAGTCATAAGGCGAACATTTGTGACTTGTAGTGTAACCATAGAGTTCTAGATACATTTTTGTCATTAAACAATATATCACGTGCCAACCACGGGTCAGGGTTGTCCTGTGGGTACCCGGGCCCTACTCAGTACCCACCCGACCCGGGTACCCGAGTTACTCGTCCAAGTCCTAGCATTGATCCAAGCAATTGGGATATGATGACATGCATCAAACAAGTCACCCTGTCCCGTTAGTCGCCTTTTATTACAAGCATAGTCGCCTTTTTTGGCAAGCATGGGTTGCTGAAGACCTATTCTACCCCTGATCTTCGCGATCTAAATACAGGATTTACCTAGACCTGCTAAGAGGAAAATATTCGGACCCAAGTCTGAAACAAATGTCAGCGAACATTTCCAAATCCCGCACAAAGACCAAAACAATTCTGTCATGAAGACATCTTAATTTTTCTCTTTTCCTTTTTTCTCAAATTCAGAAAAAACTCAAAACTTCAAACATTTTAGTCCTCTGGTACATACTGTACATCTTCCCCACAATCCATCAGGCTCACCTTTCTGTGATGGCAGCCACTTGGCCGATATTTCGCTGGAAGATCTCCTCAAATGTACAGGTAACCGAACCCTTCTGTCAAACAGAGCAGTGATCATGATCAGGCATGGTTGGTTGGTTTGGTTGGTTCGTTTGTTGTTTAACACCGCACTCAGCAATATTCCAGCTCTATGACGGCGGTCTGTAAATAAACGAGTCTGGACCAGACAATCCAGAGATTAATATCATGAGCATCCATCCACGCAATTGGGATCGATGACATGCATCAACCAAGTCAACGAACCTGACCACCCGATCCCGTTAGTCGCCTTTTGCGACAAGCATAGTCACCTTTTTACGGCAAGAATGGGTTGCTGAAGACCTATTCTACCCCGGAATCTTCACGGGTCTGATCAGGCATGAGAAAATCCAAGGCGCGTGCTCGACACTAAAACATTATTATCAAAACGAAAAAAAGAAGACAGAATTACGACTTAAGACAGAATATCACAGGCTGCATGGTAAAAAATTAAATGCATGTCTATCCTCCATGTGCAATTAAAAACTAACTTTCGATTTCCAACGTGAACAAACAAGCGAACAAGTCAGCGAGATGGGTTTACTGCTGATATTCAAGCAGTCTATAATGTGACGAGCCAACACTATAACCACCGTAGACTATCACACCACATCTAAACAGCCTAAACACATTGTCATTTCAGGTGAAAACAAACCTCTATTTCTTCATTCTTGACATCCACAAAGGGTCCAAGCTGAAATATAAAATAACGTCAAATGCTAAACTGAGATAATAATGCATATGCTGTGAATAAACATGACAGTTCTTAGATTGTAAAGTAAAAAATACACCCCAGCCAAACCGGGGGCTTAAAGTTGTCGTTGTTTGTTGTTTAACGCTGCACTCAGCAATATTCCAGCTATATGATGGTGGTCTGTAAATTATCTGGACTAGACAATCCAGTGATTCACATCATGAGCATTGATCCAAGCAGTTGGTAAATGGTAACATGCATAAACCATGTCAGCGCGCCTGACCATCCGATCCCGTTAGTCGCCTCTCACGACAAGCATAGTTGCCTTTTACGGCAAGCATGGATTACTGAAGACCTATTCTACCCCGAATATTCACGGGGACAGGACTATGTATGGGAAAGTCCAAAAGGATGGTGGCTATTTTTTGCTATAAGAATGAAATATGACCAAGACAATTTATTCTCAGTGCTGGAGACATTATTTGAAGATGTTGCATGTTGTTTTGTTTGTTTGTTTGTTGTTTAATGCCCCACTCAGCAATATTTAAGCTGTATGACAGCAGAGTGTAAATCATCCAATCTGGATAAGACAAACCAGTGATTGATATCATGAGCATGATGACAAGCCAAGGAACCTGACCGACCAAGCCATCAAGTCGCTCCTTATCACAAGAATAGGTTGCAGGGGACCAATTCTAACACAGGGGTCATGTAGTATAAAGAACACAAGGCCAGGCTTGTATATCCTTGTCGGACACCATTTACAACAGATTTTATAATTGAGTCTCACAAGTATGCAAATATCTGGTCTGTCCCTCTGCAGGTACTTCATGAGGTCATCCAGGGGTTCATAGGTCAGTGTGTCAGAGGTCGTGAAGGGGCCAGATGCTATCATAACAGTCAGAGGTGCGTCTAGAACAGAAAATTACACATTTTCCCAAATTACATAATACATGGAAAAATGTTCATTGTTATACCTACATATGAGAAGAAATGGCATGTGGTGAGAAATACCACCATTCAATGCCTCTGGCTTGTCTCAAGGGACACTACTTGAATCATGACTGTGGCCTCAGTAGAATGATGGCAATAAACCGGAATTTACAAAATAAATTCTGCACAAGACCAAGAAACTCACCGATTTCTTGCTTCACTTTCATGTCCGCTGTTGGCAGAGGAGAATTCTGTCAAAACAAAAATACAAAATAGAATCTGTTCATATCTAACACAGCATTTAGAATCAGAAATACCTGCCTGCCTGCTATCCCGTGGCTAGTGACATGTCTGTCTGGACAAGGGAAATTTAGACCACATGCTCGACTATCAGTACCGGTAGAAAATTTAATTGCTACACTTTTTTTTTATCAGATGCTGACAGGTGACTCGATTTCCTGAGAGCATGAGGTACATCTGTGATTAATAAGCTGGATATTTTAAAGGCACAGAGTAACAAAAAGCTGACAAAAATGACAAGGATTATCTACCCTAGCATGCGGTTAAAAATGGGACTTGCAACTTTCACGATGGGCTATCACCAGCCCAGAGCTCCAGATAAGCTTTTGATGTTGTGGGTATTTTACCCATGCATTTTAAAATCATTGGGTATCAGTAATTCTATCTGGGTATTCAAATTTCTGTTACCCACTAGTGTTTACACATGTGGGTATTTAAGTAATATTTAAAAACACTATTCATCTAGTCCCTGCAAACTGAAGTCGTGTGGGTTCGAGAGCTTTATAGGACTCAAAAATACCATGATACTTCCACAAGAAAGTGAGATGGCAAATGATCATGATGTAACTGTCATCGTGGAGTTTTGCAAGGTTGACGGAATGTCCGTTTATAATTCAAAATAAGTTTTGCTAATCAAATAAGCAGGGTTACTTCACAATATTTTGATTATACGCACAAGTTTTATTTTTGTAGCGAATCTGTAATGTTTGTTGCGTATTTGATACGCTTGGATTTTATTTTACTGCGTATTTCTGCATTTTTTATGTGTATTTTACGCAGATACACAGATACGCAGCTTATCTGGAGCTCTGACCAGCCTGACTTGTGAGGAGTAAAAGGTCAAAGGTGTATTGGCCACAGACACATACCTCATACAGTTTGGTGACAACAAACTTCTGTCCGGTGGTGTTGCTGCCGTCAAGGGCAACGAGCTGACCAGGGAACAGGGAGTACTCCTTGAGACTGGACAGGTCAACTGGGATACACTTTCCCGCTGACGACTCCCGGGACCCCTCCAGGACGACAGACTTGGCGTTCAGTTTACCGTTACTGTCACAGCCGATTCTACCCGACACCGTCACCTGGTCCTGAAACATGGATCTCTAAACTGCTCATATGTGTAAATAGTTGACCGTATTTCTTGTAATAAATACCCTGTTACAATAACTACAATCAAATTCTAGAGTGAGTGAGTGAGTTTGGTTTAACGCGGCTTTTAATAGTATTCCAGTTATATCACGGCATGTCAGCTTAATGTTGGAGGAAAGCCCGAAGTGATGCGAGTCTCAAACGTTTACCACTTCAGTGAAACCCACGAGCACGGGTATGGTGCTGACAAACCTAGCTAGAAACATAATCAGGGCAAACCGGGATTCGAACCCACAATCATAGGTTTCTGGCGTGCTCAAGGGAAGCAAACTCTGCCCAGCAAATCAGGGTGCATAGGACGACTGGGCCACCCATGCCCCCTCAAATTCTAGAACAATCTTATTCTTCATAAATACCCATAGATCCCGAAAGTTTACATATTTTCTTGTGTAAATTGTGTCTATTAGTTTAACAGAAAACACGGTAGTGTAGAAAGTGTTGTAATTGCTGAGTAAATTCTTTTTCAGTATTATTGATGCTTTATTGAACATGAGATGTAGAGTAACTAAATAAGACAAATAGGTCAGTTTCACTCTTTTATTACAGAAATCCATGGAAGACAGGTGTATCCCTGATTCTCAGTTCTGTAGACGTAACATTTTTACTGAATTTATTAGCTTGATTTGTGGCAAGTACATTTTAAAATAGGGCAAGTAAGAATGTTGGTCAAATAACATTTTTCATAAATTTTCAACCCTTGAATGTTAAAATCACAAACTCTGTTTTGTTCGTTCGTTGTTTAACGCCGCACTCAGCAATATTCCAGCTATATATCGGCGGTCTGTAAATGATCGAGTCTGGACCAGACAATCCAGTGATTGACATCCGCGCAATTGGGACACAATAACATGTATCAACCAAGTCAGCAAGCCTGACCACCAGATCCTGTTAGTCGCCTTTTAAGACAAGCATAGTCGCCTTTGACAGCAAGCATGGGTTGCTGAAGACCTATTCTTCCCCCAATCTTCACGGGTCTGGAATGTTAATAATGGAGGGACATCGTCACATAAGGTACAGGGTCCCAGGGTCCCATCCTATGTTACAATAAGTGACGTACAGCCAAGATTGCCGCCAGGAATGTCATTCAGTAAGATATATTGCAAGAATAAGACCCGACCTGGTTTGGGAGTGCCACGTGTGAGTATTCCTCAATGCCATGTTTGTTCTGGAGCTCAGCAGACATATCTTCTATCAAGTCATTCAGAACTGAAATAGTTGCATGAAAGAACAAATATGTTCAGTTGAATGAGAACGTGTTTATATATGCAGGGATGAAAATGGATATTTTCCTTTTCAGCTGAAACGTCTTTGCAATGGAGCGTGGTCCATAATTTGGGGGTGTTTATCATGTTTATGGGGGAAGCCATCAGATTTTAACAAATTTGTGGTCACTAAAATTTCTAGAAATTCGCAGATCCAAGGAAGATTCTCATCCCTGTATATGTACCTGCTTCATAAACTTAGGTGGAAATCTGATGTCCTAAACCCAAACAGCAGCAAGAGATCAATGTGTGAGTGAATGAGTAATTTGCGTTTAACGCCTTTAACAGCATTCCAGTTATATCACGGCATGTCAGCTTAATGTGGGAGGAAAGCCTGAAGTAATGCAGGTCTCAGCACGGGTATGGTGCTGACAAACCTAGAAACATAATCGGGGCGAACCGGGATTCAAACCCACAATCATAGGTTTCTGGCGTGCCCAAGGGACGCAACTCTGCACAGCGAATCGCGGCGCCTTAGACGACTGGGCCACCCGTACCCCCAGAGATCAATGTAAGGGAGAGGCTCAATATGACTTTCAAAGGTCAGGCTTTACATATGTAGTCATTACATGTTTTAAGTACTGCTCTGAAGTATTTGATTTTCTTCTGATGACAATTTGAAACTTCAAAATATCATAAAACACCAAGTCTTTTACTCTTCAGATTGGTCTCTTGATATAAGGTCAACCATACTATCAGCAGGAGACCATCTATTTTTCGATACCAAAACACAACTTGTCTGATGTTGTTTAATATTTCTCACTATGTAATGTTACGCCATTGAAATTGTTTTGACTTATTCACCTGAAAATGTGTTTGTTTGTTTGTTAGTTTAATGCCAAACTGAGCAATATTCCAGCCATATGATGGATGTCTGTAAATATTCAAGTCAGGACCAGACAATGCAATGACTGACATCAGTCAGCATCGGGATATGACGGCACATAATCAACCAAGTCACCGAGCCTGACTACCTGATCCATTAAATTGCCTTTACGACTTTGCTGGGGACGTGTATTTTTACACGGGATCCCAAAGGTGAATGTTATGAGGTTTCTTTGCAGTGTAAAAAAGGTGTCTGATAGTGTCAACATAATATCTTCTAATACTGATTACTTCCTTTAAGAACCCATACTCTACAACACATAACACGACCATGCTAGAACACATAACACGACATGCTACAACACAACATGACTATGCTAAAACACACACCATGACTATGCTACAACACAACAATGCTACAACACAACACGACTATGCTAAAACACACACCACGACTATGCTATAACACAACATGACTATGCTACAACATATAACACAACACGACTATGCTACAACACATAACACGACATGCTACAACACAACATGACTATGCTAAAACACACACCATGACTATGCTACAACACAACAATGCTACAACACAACACGACTATGCTAAAACACACACCACGACTATGCTATAACACAACACAACCATGCTACAACACATTAACACGACATGCTACAACACAACACGACTATGCTAAAACACACACCACGACTATGCTACAACACAACACGACTATGCTACAACACAACACGACTATGCTACAACACAACAATGCTACAACACAACACGACCATGCCTCAACACATAACACGACATGCTACAACACAACAATGCTACAACACAACACGACTATGCTACAACACAACGCGACTATGCTACAGCACATACCATGACTACGCTACAACACAACACGACTACGCTACAACACAACACGACTATGCTACAACACAACACGACTATGCTACAACACAACACGACTTTGCTACAACACGACACGACCATGCTACAACACATACCACGACTACGCTACAACACAACACGACTATGCTACAACACATACCACGACATGCTACAACACAACAATGCTACAACACAACACGACTATGCTACAACACAACACGACTATGCTACAACACAACAATGCTACAACACAACACGACCATGCTACAACACATACCACGACTACGCTACAACACAACACGACTATGCTACAACACATACCACGACTATGCTACAACACAACAATGCTACAACACAACACGACTATGCTACAACACAACACGACTATGCTACAACACAACAATGCTACAAAACAACACGACCATGCTACAACACATAACACGACATGCTACAACACAACGCGACTATGCTACAACACATACCACGACTACGCTACAACACAACACGACTACGCTACAACACAACACGACTATGCTACAACACAACACGACTATGCTACAACACATACCACGACTACGCTACAACACAACACGACTATGCTACAACATAACACGACTATGCTAAAACACAACACGACTATGCTACAACACAACACGACTATGCTACAACACAACACGACTATGCTACAACACATACCACGACTACGCTACAACACAACACGACTATGCTACAACACACAACATGACAATGCTACAACACACAACACAACAATGCTACAACACAACACGACCATGCTACAACAATGCTACAAGACGACACGACAATGCTACAACACACAACACAAGTATGCTACAACACTCACTGTGCGCCTTGTCTGTGAGTTTCTGGAACATGTGTTTGAACTGAGAGGTCAGGTGACACGTGCTGTCAAAAGGTGCCACCGAACATCCTTGGCCTTGACCTTGCCAACTGATATTATCCGTGGGTCCAAAACTACACACAACATCACCAGCATTTGTCCGAGTTGAGTACTTCCGTGAGGGTGTAACACTGAAATTAAAAGTAACAAAATAGAAACAATAGAAATTTCAGTTTGTGATATTTAAGCCCCAATCTTTGAAGAAATTACTGAAATATGCTGCTTGGAGATTTTGCAAATCAGTCCAATGTCTTGAAAAAAAAACCTACTGAAAACGATGCCGAAGAATACTTGTTGAGAAATATGTTGAAAACATAAGACATTAAACTGAGATGAAGTTGTTAGCAGAGATTAAGTTGGTTGGTTGGTTGGTTGGTTGGTTTGTTGTTTAACGCCGCACTCAGCAATATTCCAGCTATATGACGGCGGTCTGTAAATAATCGAGTCTGGACCAGACAATCCAGTGATTAATGTCATGAGCATCAATCCACGCAATTGGGATCGATGGCATGCATCAACCAAGTCAGCGAGCCTGACCACCCGATCCCATTAGTCGCCCTTTACGACAAGCAAAGTCACCTTTTACGGCAAGCATGGGTTGCTGAAGACCTATTCTACCCCGGAATCTTCACGGGTCCAGAGATTAAGTATACCTTGCAGGGGAGAAACTTCGTGGGGAAAACGGTACAGGGCTTCGCATGGCATTGCTGAACCGTTTCATAGGGAGATTCTCAGGTGTGTGTTGGCGTTTCTGTGGTAGGTTCCCCTGAACAAAGAAAACAGTTTGCCAGATGAATAAGTGAATGAGTGAATGAAGAATTAAGCAGCAGTGTCACCTCACAACCATGCTTCCAGTAAGTCATGAGACTGGTGCAGTTCTGAGCTACATGATGGTGATCTGTAAATAATGAAGTCTGGGCCAGACAATCCAGTGACTGACATCATGAGCATCGATCTACACCATCCGGATACGATGACATACATCAACCAAGTCACCGAGCCTGACCACCCAATCACGTTAGTTAGGTGGTCAGGCTCGTTGACTTGGTGCAAGGTGTGTACCCAGATAGCATCGATCGTTGCTTGCAATATCAATCACTGGATTATCCAGTCCAGGTTTTATTAATTACAGGCTACTGTCATATACCTTGAATATTACTTAGTTCGGCATTAAGAAACAAACACACATTCTCAGGTGAATAAATCCATTTACACGATTCAGCTCATAAATTTCTGCACATTTCAGATGTGTATGAATAACAGACAGTGTTTTATTAACAAGCCACAACATCATCCTGATCATGTTTGTCACGATTTGGCTTTGGTTGGTTGGTTTTTTGTTTAACGCCGCACTCATCAATATTCCAGCTATATGAGGGCGGTCTGTAAATAATCGAGTCTGGACCAGACAATCCAGTGATTAATAGCATGAGCATCGATCCACGCAATTGGGATCGATGACATGCATCAACCAAGTCAGGGAGCCTGACCACCCGATCCCGTTAGTCGTCTTTTACGACAAGCATAGTCACCTTTTACGGCCAGCATGGGTTGCTGAAGACCTATTCTATCCCTGAATCTTCACGGGTCTGTTTGTCACGATGTCCTACCACAGATTAATGAGTGTATCAGGCTAACACCTAGTAAGCAAGGTAAGTGAGTGAATTAATTTGGCCAAACAAAAACACAGTAAACTTGCATGTCTGCATAAGACAAACTGGTGGTTGATAGCATGAGTAAACATCCAAGCTGTCACAATCAATCAGCTCGGTCAATAATACCACCCCACCCAATCACCCTTTAGTCTGCACTTGTGAGTTTGGTTCAACATCACTTCAAACAGTATTTCAGTTAAACCATGGTATGTCAGCTTGACGTGGGAGGCGAGGTGAAATGGGGTTTAACGTCGCAACCAAGATTATTGCACTTATATAGTGACGTGCATCCACATGTGTGTGTGGCTGCTTTTACTAGTCCGGACTGATGCCGACTAAAAGTGCTAGCTCACCGTCTACATGGTAATAGGGACTCTGGGATTCGAACCCACAATTCTGCTCTTACAAGCAAGTGTACTGCCGACCTACTGTCCCCTGATAGTGTCTGTCAACAGCCCTGTGTAGGGACCTACCTTGGGAGTGGTACCAGGGGCTGTGTACGGACCTACCTTGGGAGTGGTACCAGGGGCTGTGTACGGACCTACCTTGGGAGTGGTACCAGGGGCTGTGTAGGCTCCCAGCAGGTTGGCTGCGTCTTCTTCATCTATACTTAGCAGAGTTAAGGATTGGGAAAATAGATGTTACCAGACCATTCTTTTCTGCTATGTCACTTGGTACCAATTTGTACTGGGAAACCTAGCACAAGTTTATCACAATTGGGGATATTTAACATGTTAACAGAAAAATCCATCAACTTAAACCTTTGTTCATATATTTATTTTATCATTTAACTAAAGCATTTATCCATGACATAAGCTTATGACATAAAAACATGTATGTCATACCCAAATGACATAAGTATGCAAATTAGATATGCAAATTAGATAACCGGAAGAGGGACTTTTTTCGCCGGTGCACGTGAGTAGGTGTTTACAAACAACATGGATACCTTTGATGTTGGAGACATTATTTCAATTATTCTGCAAAAGTCTGTTCAAGTATTTTGTTTAAAATAATTCGAGGAACTTTTTTTCTCAGCGAAGGAATATGTCATCAAGGAGTTAAGAGGTTGTTTATTTTGGTTTACACGGCTATGGAAAACATGTATCACTACGCACGATCTATACGTAAGATTTCGACAAGTTGCTGATGTTAATGTTTAATGCAATTATTCCTTAATTGGGAAGCAAAAATGTGAAAATGATAAATAGAATTCATCACTCGTGTTTTTTAATATGGGAAATATCAACCTCGTCCCGTTAATCGGTATTTGCCTCGCCAAAGGCTCGGCAAATACCGATTAACTAAGACTCGGTTGATATTTCCCATATAAAAAAACACTCGTGATGAATCCTCTATGTATAACATATACCACATTTTTTCAGGGAATGGATTTCAACATTGTCAAGGGTTTTGTCTGTGGTATTGTACCATTTTATTATTTTTTTAGAAAAGTGAATTTCAATTTTGATAATTGTTGTCAGATTTGGAAAAATCATTGGCATATTTATCGTTTTAGTCTTGGAGAAATATTCAGAATCTTCAAACATGCAAGAAAAGAAAGGTACATCGTTAGGCTTGCATTATTGAGAGAACCAAAACTTTTGCCCATGTAAAAAACACACCTGATTTTTGGTAACCAAAATAATTCCAGTATAAATAGGTATTTGCTAAAAAACATCAATATCCTAAGTAATTATATGACAGCAAAAACAATAATTCTTATTACAACTTAAGTTTTGCATTGTTCTGTGTGGAAAAAGGATACCCATCTTCTATGGTATTAATGTCATAAAGCACGGGACCTTTCTTGGAGGGAGGCGCTTTAGGCACTTTTGCCTTCTTTGAGAGGCGCTGAAGAAATAAATCAAGAGATGATAGTCATGTTCAAAGTACACACAATAATAACTTGTACTACATATTCATGTCAATTGTGGAGACTTCACCAAATCTCTGCCCAAACCTTGGGAGTCTTCAAGCCTGGTCTATTTTCTTCATTATCGGCAACTTCTAGTGTTGAAGTATAGACCAGTATTTCCTGAGCTTACCACTGCTTGCTTTTATCATGCAAACTCAGCAGAAAGATACTTATGATATCTCACACTTCAGACAAGATGATCAATTTTCAAGCTACATAACATCAGTAAAATTTGGAGATGAAAATATGCTATCCTTGTAAAATGTGATTCAAACCTCTCTTTCAAATGAGTCCAAAGATCCAAGGTCAAGATTTAAGTTTCTCTTCGCCGAGCATGAGAATGCCATCCATTCTGCAGCCATTTTGGCAGCCTCGAGGCGATGCACAATACATAGTTCCTTCACTGTAAATTGAAAAAGCAAATGCTATCATGATGAAATGATGTTTGTTTGTTGTTTTACGCAACACTCAGCACATTTCCAGCTATATGACGGCGGTCTGTAAATAATCGAGTATGGACCAGACAATCCAGTGACTGACATGAGCATCGTTCTACGTAATTGGGATACGATGACATGCATCAACCAAGTCGGTGAGCCTGACCATCAATCCTGTTAGTCACCTTATACGACAAGCATCGTCGCCTTTTACGACACTCCAGCATGTGTTGCTGAAGACCTAATATTCAGGGGACTGATCATGCTGATGAAATGATGAAGTAAGGGGATCATAAAAGCTACAAGGATGAAAGGAATAATGAAAGGGTGCTGTTTATTTTCTTGGTGTGACAAAAATAACTTGCTGGTAATATACCAGTACTGTATAGAGAACTATTCCTTACAAAAGAGCAATTTACATGCAGCGTAAGAAATTGGCACTAGTTCTATAGTCCTTGCCAAACTGCCCAATAGTTAATGTATCCCAATACAAGGACTGGTTGACATTTGCCATTTTGAAGGGGTTTGCTATATGTTATTATAAGGACTAGTGGACTAAAACTGTTAGTTTCTACCACTGACATGTAGCTAGTTCTCAGTGTTGGGTCACCTTATTTGTGTTCATGTCACATGCATATAGTTGGTAGGCCAAACTTACAAATGTACAGTGCCAGTGTGTACTTCGTGTTCATCTGTGTGTACATATCATTCTTTATGGAAAAAACCGTGCATATCACTCAAATAAAAGCTTGAAATATGTCACGTTCCTCGTGATGGATTACACCAGAGATCATAATTGTTGTTTTTAATTTAATGCTCTCTGAACGTGTATGCTGTTATTAGTCTGGTAAGAATATAATGAATATTATCTGCAAAAAGATACTGAATGTCATTGTCTGTATATTGGGGAGCAGGTCAAAACGGTCCCATGTTAGAAAGGCCTAATAAAGTAAAGTGGTTCTTTGTTGACATTCTGAATTCGAAACTTCACAAAAACATTCCTTGCTTACATTTATCTATGACTTCTGGCTGGGTCAGGTCTATGTCAAACGTGTCAAACTCTTCAACAAGATCCTCTTCTGAAACTGAAGTCATATTTATTAAGATCGGCGTGGTAAATATATTAAACTTGAAAAAGACCGAATCTTCTTTCACAGTCTGATATTTGCTTTTCCCGCGATATTCATTCACTTCCGTTTCTTTAACTTAGATCAGCAGAAACTGTTTTACGTTGTGGAAATCCCGATATGATTAGTAACATCTTTTCCACTTTTCAAAATGACAATATCTAAATTATGCATTCAGTCCGTCGCAAAGTGTGTTTTAGCTGCACTTATAATTCCGATTAGCTATTCCGCAGTGAAGCGTCCCCAGTTTCAAGATGGACGATTGCAACCTTGACAAGTTGGGTGTAAAACCTGGGAAACTCGAACCTGCATTTAAGCGAGACATTACTGAATACAACATTATTGTTGCTAGCGATGTCGAGAAGCTATCGTTTGACCCTCTCACAAGCGACACAGGTGCATCGTATTCGATTTCGGTATGGAGCATTTATTTACGTAGCCTACTGCAAAACATATAACCTACCAGTCAACAGCTGATCAGTGATCACTTGCCAACAAAGTATTGTATAATTAATCTGAAACAGATTGATTGGCACAAATATTATATGCTCCTTTGATTTTCAAATCACTCAGTCAGAATTAGATATATATCTACCAAGAGAAAAGAATAACAAATCTAAAATTTCTAAAATGGAAAAAAAGGAATTAATAACCAAATCAATGTCATATTAAATTCAGAATAAAGTAATACTTTTTTTATTAGTTATTTTCAGATCTTTGCTGATTAAACCAAACAGCTTCCCCTGTATGTATACAGCTGGTATAACATGGTCACATTGGTAAATTATGGTATCATTTCACTCTCTCAATTTTCAGGGTGGGGAAGGTGGAAAGCAAGTGCCCCTCCCCGAAGGAGCTGTGACCGACATTAAGATTGAAGTTACTGCTGAAGATGGAACAACCAAGAAATATTTCATTCATGCAAGGAGACTGTCAGCTAAAGATGCCACTCTCAGCACCCTCAAACTTAGCATTGGAAAACTTGACCCTGAATTTTCAGCAAATATTACAGAATATTCCAGTGAGTGTTTTGACTGTTTTGAAATATTTAAAAGCAGTGCACTTACTTTTTTTATTATTACACATCTGACTACTATTTGAAAAAAGGTGCTTCAGTTTACACTTGTGTAGGACCTTAAAAACATTATGCTTATCATGCTTATGATTATGTATGATGGTTGAGCTGGAAGGGTGTCTTACATACATGGTTGATACTTAGGATGTTTGCCTTAACCATTTATGCTTGTCAGAAGCAATCAGATTTTCCAGTAACAAGACAAATAACTGAATGTTCAGGTTTTGATGACTCCCATGATCACAATATTTCTCTCGGACCAATATTTATTGCAAGAGCCCTGTGGGGATTCCGAGTAGGAACAGGTCCCCAGCAACCTATGCTGAACTAAATGGATCGGGTGGTCAAGTACAATTACAGCGTGGATTATTTTTAAAATATTGATTATTTCCTGGCAAAGTTGTACAAAGTTGTGGTTCTTTAATAGAATCTTGGTTTTGTTTGACCATTCGTCATTAAGGTGATGAAACAAAGACTGGTTAGCTTAGAGTCTGCGTCTGAGTGGGGTATCCATGTTAAACTTGGTATGTCATGATACAGGTGTCACATGATACGATACATATTTCGATGCAGAAGCCGCGATATAAAACATATCTCAATACTGCATGTATACGACATTTTGTGCAGAAAACCCAGTCACTAGACAGAGTTCATAGACACTCTCATAAAGGTAAAGAAGGACTAATACCCATCAACAAGACACATGAATCAAGTCAACTATTCTGTATGTGAAAATAATAAGATACAAGTTTACATACTGTATTGTGACAGGCAGCAAGGAAAAGCTAGTCAGTCTTGTTTCGGGCCGGTTTTGTATCCGAAAAACGACCAAGAAAGTTAGGAGGAATTAAAAAAATAGTTCGCACTTGCTTCTTGATATCGATGCGAGATCAACAAGGACAATCGATATGGGTTTAATGTCAGCTAAAGATGCCACTCTCAGCACCCTCAAACTTAGCATTGGAAAACTTGACCCTGAATTTTCAGCAAATATTACAGAATATTCCAGTGAGTGTTTTGACTGTTTTGAAATATTTAAAAGCAGTGCACTTACTTTTTTTATTATTACACATCTGACTACTATTTGAAAAAAGGTGCTTCAGTTTACACTTGTGTAGGACCTTACAAACATTATGCTTATCATGCTTATGATTATGTATGATGGTTGAGCTGGAAGGGTGTCTTACATACATGGTTGATACTTAGGACGTTTGCCTTAACCATTTATGCTTGTCAGAAGCAATCAGATTTTCCAGTAACAAGACAAATAACTGAATGTTCAGGTTTTGATGACTCCCATGATCACAATATTTCTCTCGGACCAATATTTATTGCAAGAGCCCTGTGGGGATTCCGAGTAGGAACAGGTCCCCAGCAACCTATGCTGAACTAAATGGATCGGGTGGTCAAGTACAATTACAGCGTGGATTATTTTTAAAATATTGATTATTTCCTGGCAAAGTTGTACAAAGTTGTGGTTCTTTAATAGAATCTTGGTTTTGTTTGACCATTCGTCATTAAGGTGATGAAACAAAGACTGGTTAGCTTAGAGTCTGAGTGGGGTATCCATGTTAAACTTGGTATGTCATGATACAGGTGTCACATGATACGATACATATTTCGATGCAGAAGCCGCGATATAAAACATATCTCAATACTGCATGTATACGACATTTTGTGCAGAAAACCCAGTCACTAGACAGAGTTCATAGACACTCTCATAAAGGTAAAGAAGGACTAATACCCATCAACAAGACACATGAATCAAGTCAACTATTCTGTATGTGAAAATAATAAAATTCAAGTTTACATACTGTATTGTGACAGGCAGCAAGGAAAAGCTAGTCAGTCTTGTTTCGGGCCGGTTTTGTATCCGAAAAACGACCAAGAAAGTTAGGAGGAATTAAAAAAATAGTTCGCACTTGCTTCTTGATATCGATGCGAGATCAACAAGGACAATCGATATGGGTTTAATGTGAAACGATGCCAAATTAAGTGTATCAGATATCGTATCGTGCAAACCTTGTCGACGATGCACCATGTACCGTTGAGTCGTGACATCACTATGCTAAACTGTGGCATAGTATCTCAGTGAGCTGTAAAACTGGCATTACTCCAGACTTTTACAAGCACAAGCATGCTTGTCGCTGGATAAGTGCCATAATCTTGAATGAGACGTCAGACCCCATTTCACCTCACCTCCAAAACTCTGTCTGTCTGGATCATCTCATATCAACAATAATACTTTCAGGTTGATTTTCACAAAGTTTGGGTTCTTTTATACAATCTTGGTTTGGTTGACCATTGACGTAATTTTTTTTTTTCAGGTCTGCTTCCATGTAACATAACAAGTCTAACAGTGACCCCCACTGCCCCTGACACAAAGAATGCGATCACTGTCTGCGGGGAGAAGCCAGGATCTCCAACCCCCCTCAGTGTAGGCGAGACACAGATTCCTATAGAAGTCACATCAGCTGATGGTTCCAACAAGCAGGTAGATGATGAATGCCTTGATGATAGTATCAACTTCTGAAACATTTGTTTATTGGGTCTCTTTTCAAACTGGATACCACTCAAAATGAGATAAGCATGTGATTTGGATTTTGCAGTTGGCAGCGAACATTTGATGCCGTAATATTTCACTTGGAATCAACAACATAAGCAAATGTTTCAAGTGTTAACATAATAACTTAAAGTAATCCATATAAATATACCGATTCATTAATGTTTATCTTTGATTTTCTGTTGCCCAATTTCATAATGATTCTAGTGATTTCAAACCAAAATACGAATGGGTATGATTAATGAGGGTCATAAAAAATGGCTGCTATTCAACAACATAAAGCAATTCTGAAACTGTGTATAATGTGTCAGTCTGTCAAAACATTTTGAGTCAACTAGACCAAACTTGCTCTATGCATCTTTTCTGTAGAATTTGATGTCAAGGCTAATTTTTAAAACTTACCCGATCTCACACTATGCATTTCATCCTTCTCCTTCAATCCTGGTGTTAAAATGATCCTAGAACATGTTTCCAGCTTCATAAAACACCTCCCTAAACACATCCCAGCCATAGCCAAGGTTACCATCAGTATTAGTGGCAAGAGCAGATCCATCAATTTTAAAAGGAAAGGGTGCAAAATATCAAAATCCACTCTCAGTCAATTTTCCTGCCTACAACATAGTATGTTTGGTTTTGAAAAAGGGTCGGGGGCGGACCCCCTAGAACCCCCCTCTCGATCTGCCTAAAAGTGGTCTGACACACACATGAATCTCGTGCTTTTCAATTATGTGAATCTGCAGCCAACTCATTCTCTTTCTTTACGCTGTTGTGTTGAGACGTCTTTTTGCACAGTGTGAGATAGGGTTCCGTCCGTCCGTCCATAGGTCCGTCCATCCGTGCGTCACGTTTCGTTTCCGGAGCATAACTAAAAAAACGTTCAATATTTTTTCATGAAACTTTGCAGGTCTGTCAAGTACATGCTGAACTGGTGCATGTTGCTATTTAGAAATTTTAGAAATTTAAAATTTTTAAGTTTCCATGGCAACAAGATGGACTGAGGTTCTGTGAGGGTAGGGTTCGTTTCCGGAGCATAACTCATAAACCGTTCAATATTTTTTCATCAAACTTTGCAGGTCTGTCAGGTACATACTGAACTGGTGCCTTTTGCTATTTAGGAATTTTAGAAATTTTTGTTTATGTTTCCATGGCAACAAGATGGACTTAGGTTCCAAACTCTTCTTTTTTTTACAATTTCCATGACAAGTTCCACCACGGTTAAAAAAGGTTAGGGTTTGTTTAGATTTAATTATGTCATAAATTCTGCAACAGGGGCAGGGTATAAAGCCACATTAGTGGCAAACTCTTGTTAATATACAATTTATATTAAAATTTACAATTACCAGCGGAGTTCACTGGTCCAAACAGAATTTGACTAGACTCAGGCTTCAGACAAATGGCATAAGTCACAGAATGCTGTGTTTGCTGTAACGCAAATAGTTATTTTGTTTGCTATATGTTTCAACAAAAATGGTTGTGTTCAGACATACACAGTTACGGTGATGAAGAAGCAACTTCCCCGCTACGTGAAACTGACGGATCCCCAGATGGCTCTGCAGTATGAATGTCCCATCTCACTCAACCCTCTCTATCGACCAATCACCATCAAGAACAGTGACCCAAGGCACACATTCTCCGCACCGCTTATAGACGAGTACACAAAGACCTCCAAGTTTGACCTCCTGAACAGCATGCCCCTGGGCCCCGACTGGAGGGTGACAGACCACCCTCTGGATAGTAAACTGTCCACCCTCACGGGGTGCATCCCTCTTACTTATGGAGGTAAGGCATCAGGTTAAGATGGGATTAGGATTTCAGTCTCATTTAGATCAGGGCCTACTTGCACAAAGCGATCTTAGCGCTAAGACTATCGTAAGCCTATGTTAAAGTATGGGAGTTACAATCATCTTAGCGCTAAGATCGCTTTGTGCAAGTGGGCCCAGATCTTAGTTCTTGCTACGCTTTGAAAAATATTGATTCAAGATTTAAACATTCTGGAATGTCTTGACAGATTGCTTTGATTGTCTGGCAGTACTTCCCCATGGTTAGAAACGAACAGTTTTTGTCCACTAGTCCTTATAATGATAACATATAGCAAAACCCTAAAAATGGGCCAATTTCTACTAGTCCTTATTATACCTTTACTATTGGGCAGTTTGCTAAGGACTACAGGACTAGTGCTAATTTCTAAAGCTGCTTCCCACAGACTATTGATAATCTTTTCTGTTTGAAATGTTTATCCATTGAAGCGGGAGACAAACAATGATTTTGACGGAATCAGTCGTAAATGTTTGAAATATGTCGTGTTAATCGAGTCTGGACCAGACAATCCTGTGATTGACATCATGAGCATCGATCCACGCAGTTGGAATTCAATGACATGCATCAACCTAGTCAGCAAGCTGGGGTAGGATTGGTCTTCAGCAACCCATGCTTGACGTAAAAGGTGATTATGCTTGTCGTAAGAGGCGACCAGCAGGATGGGGTGGTCAGGATCGCTGACTTGGTTGATGCATGTCATCGATCCCAATTGCGTGGATCGATGCTCATGATGTCAATCATTGGATTGTCTGGTCCAGACTTGATTATTTACAGACTGCCATCATATAACTAAATATTGCTGAGTGCAGCTTTAAACAACAAACAAACAATCGCGTGGATCGATGCTCATGACATCAATCAGTGGATTGTCTGGTTCAGACTTGAATATGTACAGATCGCCGTCATATAGCTGATTGTTACTGAGTGCAGCTTTAAACAACAAACAAACAATTGCGTGGATCGATGCTCATGATGTCAATCAGTGGATAGCTGGTCCAGACTTGATTATTTACAGACCGCCGTCATATAGCTGTAATATTGCTGAGTGCGGCATTAAACAACAAACAAACAAATATTTGCGTGGAAGGATGCTCATGATGTCAATCAGTGGATTGTCGTGTCTAGCCTTGATTATTTATTGATTTATGACTGCTGTCATTTTATATATATGTTACCACTGTGTTTCTCAGTAAACCATGTTTGTGTTTATATTCAAGTTGGTATTTCCGCTACCCAGTGTGTGAAGTGAGGCCATCTTCTTCTTGATAGTCATTTTGGAGACATAAATGCAAAGTTTCATTATTGTGAACAAAGACCACTTTTCACATTTAATTCACGCTTGTGTTAATTTGAAGATTTACAGTAATCGAGTCTGGACCAGACACTCTAAATGGAGTAAGCTGGAGTGACAGAAATATCAGGGAATAAAATACAATCCCAAATTCCTAATTATATGATTTCTCTTCTCTTCTCAGGGGCTTCTGAGGTCGTGAAGTACGGGGAACTTGGTGCCAGTGTTGGAAAGTGCAATGTGACACCCAAAACGGAGGTATGTGGATCACTGAGCATACTTCAAGTTAGATCAGGTTTTTGCTTTACCACGTTAAATAGTTTTCACTTTTTGTCACGTTATCCACGAGCTATGACTAGTCAGGTGAGGTGAAGTATTATGGGAATTATCATCGCACCCGTGAAGATCCCGGGTAGAATAGGTCTTCAGCAACCCATGCTTGCTGTAAAAGGCGACTATGCTTGTCGTATGAGGCGACTAACGGGATCGGGTGGTTTGACTGATACATGTCATCGTATCCCAATTATGTGGATCGATGCTCATGATGTCAATCACTGGATTGTCTGGTCCAGACGCGATTATTTACAGACCACCGTCATATAGCTGGAATATTGCTGAGTGCGGCGTTAAATAACAAACAAATAAACATTCATATAGTGACATGCATGCATCTGTGTGTCTGTTTGTACTTGGCTGGACGAACGCTGATTTTATAGTGCTATCACACTGAGAAACCATGCCACAGTTTTGGCATGGACTGTGTGTCAGCCATTGTTTTATCCCCACAATGCCGAATACCAGGCAGGGTAACACCAAGTACCAGTACCATCAAGTTAACATCTTTTCGTATGACTCAGCCAAGGGATCAAACCACATACCTTCTGCATCCCGGGCAGACGCTTTATCCACTAGACCACGGTGGTGGACTAGTCAAGACCAGCTGCCATACCTCAGACACTATCCCCTATAACTCTCACTATCTTGCAGGACTTGACTGATCGATTCAAAGGGACCACAGTCACCATGACCCACACAGTAGAGGTGAGCATTGGACTTGTATTGTGTACATGTGTATCACCATCTTCCTGAGGCAAGGGAGTTAACTGACTATAAAAGACCAGTTTCCCCCCTTGCCGAACTAGGCAGGAATTATTGAGTTATAGTTTGGCTGGACTAAGGAGCTTATGCATAGTCTAATCAAAATCATGTAACGAAATCAAAATCTGCTTCATAAACTGCAGTGCAGATTTTGGTTGACTGCAGGATTTGCAAAGCATGTGTACCATCAAATTAACGTCAACAGATATTTTCCCAAACTTTTCCTGTTTTATATCAAGGTGCGTAATTTGATACACGTCACACAGTAAGACCAGTTTTATTACGATATCAATATTGATTATTGATCAGATCGTCTTCAGTGGGTGCCGCCATTTTGTTAGAAGCAAATGGAAGTGATATGAGAGATGGAATCTGACTGGTCAATAGGAGTGTTCCAGAAGGGACATAACATGTAATAGATAATGATGGTGCTATGATCGAACCCAGAAATTCTAGCCTATTTCACCAAGGATGGAAACTGGACTTTTACGGTCAGTTAACTCCCTTGCCTCAAGAAGATGGTGTATCACAGGTGAAGCCTTCACAACATTGCATGTTCTCTTTCCTGCATGAGCTTTTTATTCAGTATCTTTTTGTCACCAAGCAGCAAAGCTGTTCACTTTGTCCCATAATGTTGATTGCATAATAAAAAAATTAAAAATATTCTTATAACCCCAGCAAAAATGTTCAAACTCAGCTTGCTTGCTATGGCTGATAAAGAAAAACAACTGGTGCTCCACTGTTATCAGTATGTTGTTATTTTCATAGATAAATGTGCTTCCTGAGCTGGATGTCAGAATTTTCTCTTATCATTACAGCATCATAAAGATTCGGGTTAGAATAAGTCTTCGGCAACCCCTGCTTGCCGTAAGAGGCGACTATGCTTGTCGTAAGAGGCGACTATGCTTTTCGTAAGAGGCAACTAGCGGGATCGGGTGGTCAGGCTCACTAATTTGGTTGATGCATGTCATCATATCCCAATTGCGTAGATCGATGCTCTTGAGTGAGTGATTTTGGTTTAATGCCGCTTTTAACAGTATTCCAGTTATATCACGGCGTTAAGCCCAAAGTGATGCAGATCTCAGACGTTTACCACTTTGGTGAAACCCACGAGCTCGGCTATGGTGCCTAGAAACATAATCGGGTCGAACCCGGGATTCGAACCCACAATCATAGGTTTCTGGCGTGTCCAAGGGACGCAACTCTGCACAGTGAATCGCGGCGCCTTAAACAACTAGGCCACCCTTCCCCCCATCAATGCTCCTGACATCAGTCACTGGATTGTCTGGTCCAGACTTGATTATTTACAGACTGCCATCATATAGCTGAAATATTGCTGAGTGCAGCGTTAAACAACAAACAAACAAACAAACAAACAAACAATCTTATTACAAAACTGCTGAAATATATTGCTGTCATGTGAGGAATTTACAAATGTGGACATTTCCTGAGATGCTAAACTAGTAGTTCTTATCAATGCTTATAAAAAAACAATTGAAAACAAGTTTTGTTATATTAGACCACAAACCAGTTTATGTGTAGTTCCTCTGTAGTAGTGTTGACATTGGTGCAGGAATACTAGAACAAGCAACAATTGAAAAAACACCACAAAAGTTAAATTTGTGTAAGAAAGAAAAGATTGATCACATTCTCTCTTTCCTGCGAGGGGGCAGAAACCTATAATTGTGGGTTCGATCCCGGTTCGCCCTGATTATAGTTTTAGGTTTGTCAGCACCATACCCAAGCTCGTGGGTTTCACCAAACGTCTGAGACCTGCATCACTTTGGGCTTTCCTTACACATTAAGCTGACATCCTGTGATATAACTGGAATACTGTTAAAAGCAGTGCCAAAACCCCTCTCTCACTCACTCACTCACTGTTTCCTGCTACTGTTTGCATGTTGATGAGGCAATGCAGCACTGGTTAAAGGCGTTCCTCAGTGGATGTCCGCATGATGTAGTGTGCATGCCATGTTTGTGTAGGTACGTAAGTGGGAGAAAGGCCTGCAGCAGATATTTGACGAGACCGACGTAAAAGAACTGGTAAAGAATGCCAAAGCTGAAGTGGAGAACTACTTTCAAAGTTTACCAAAACCTGGTTTGTGAACATGTGTCTGTGTGTCCAAGTTTTGGGTCTTGTAAATCGTCAACCTAGACGATAGATCAGTGTGCTGTGCCTTCCCTTGGATAAACTGTTACCACCAACTACCGTATTCGACGCAATAAGCGCCCAGGGCGCTCTCAAAATTAGAAATAAGGGGCTCTTATTAGAATAGTATTTTGGTGGAAAAAAAACAGTTGAAAGATAAATTTCGTGGTTTATGCTGACAGCCTGAAATGTTTATATACGACAGATATATTTTCCAGAATTTAATTGCCCATAATTAAGGGTGCATATAACACACAAGTGCGTATTATACACGAATAAATAAGTCTTGTGTACATTGATCAATCGGAAGGGGTGCTGATTGGGATTGTTCACTAGCCAATATATTAACAAATATCTCCGTGGGTGCTTATTAGAGCTGGGCGCTTATTACAGCGAATACGGTAATGCTAATGTGTGTACTGCTAGTTTCTTTTACCTTACCTTGTAACCACAGAGGCAGATCAAGGATTTTGTGGGGCAGCGAATATTTGAATATTTTTTCACCTTTGGTGCCATTGTGAAAGAATTAAACAAATTGAAAATTGATAGAAAACGGTTTTTTGATTGAGCGGACAACTTGTGCTGTGTCACGTGATTTTCATTGACTCATGAAAAATGTGGCTTTTTGCTTCATAGCAGGGTGTAAGGGATTTATTCTCCTGCTCAGATATACAGATCATGTGAACCAATCAGATCCCGACATTCTGACATGGAGGTAAGATATATATTGTTACCTTGAGAGCTGGGAGTGGATCGGGAGAGTCATCCACTTGACAGTATACACAACTATTTCTATAACTCCTCCTGCCACAAGATCCCTTGATCCGCCTCTGAACTATAGTAATAACTCATCTTGTTTCTAGATTCTGTTATTAAATGAGTTCTTCACAGCTGTCCTGTAGCTGGAACTATATCAGGCCTGTGCAGTTTCCAGGGTAGAATAGGTCTTCAGCAACCCATGCTTGACGTAAAAGTCCACTATGCTTATCATATGGGGCAACTAACGGGATCTGATGGTCAGGCTCCCTGACTTAGTTAATGCATGTCATCGTATCCCAATTTTGTGGACATGTGAAGACCCGGGATAGAATAGGTCTTCAGCAACCCATGCTTGATGTAAAAATCAACTATATTTGTCGTAAGAGGCGACTAACGGGATCGGGTGGTCAGGCTCCCTGACTTGGTTGATGCATGTCATTGTATACCATTTGTGTGGACCTGTGAAGATCTGGGGTAGAATAGGTCTTCAGCAACCCATGCTTGCCGTACGAGGCAACTATGCTTGTCGTAAGAGGCGACTAATGGGATCGGGTGGTCAGGCTCGCTGACTTGGTTGATGCATGTCATCGCATCCAAATTGTGTAGATCGATGCTCATGATGTCAATCAGTGGATTGTCTGGTCAAGACTCGATTATTTACAGACTGCAGTCATATAGCTGGAATATTGCTGTGTGCAGCGTTTGACAACAAACAAACCAAAAATGGAACTATATCCGACATACTCCATCTAGGCTGTGATGAAGGGTATGCCACCTATGTTGAAATAACGTTTCATCAATAGTCAAAGTAAGTTTGGCTGGCCATGCATGTATGTAACAGATTGTCTATGTTATTGAATCCAATGACATGGCTGCCAAATGGCATATATTTTGGCAGACACATTTGAAATGCAGAGCTTTGTCATTTTAGACTTTTTTGTCTTCTTAATCAACTAAATACAAACAATTAAACTATTAAAATGTTTTATGTTGAATTAACAAATTGAGTGAGGTCTAAAATTGAAGTGTTTTGGATGATCCTTGTAGTATATTTTTTTCAGTGCTTTGTGTTCATTGTGTCATGCAACTACAGTAGAACACGGATATAACGAACACGGATATAAGTGTAGCGAACAAACGGATACAACGAACTGTTAAAAAATCACCGATTTATCTCCTATATAATATTATATAAAATTTACGTATATAACAAACTCTCTACAGCGAACTAACGGATACAGCGAACAGATATCTGATCATCGACAAGCCCATCTACCACTAATTAGTGACGTGTATAGCGAACTGAGAAATCTCACACAGTGTCAAGTGTCACTGACAATTAGCTGTACGCAATCAGCGGTGAATCAACACAATCGCGGCGAATCAACACAATCATCGGTGACGGGTCAACCTTGTTAAACTTAAATGAATGTTATGAAATGTTATCAATCGAATGCTATGAAGTGATCACTACTGATACAAGTCAGTGCTGCAATTACGTGTATTGTGTTTTGTTTTACACAAGATGGCGGATGTTTCCGAGCGAAAACGTATATAACGAACAAGGGATATAATGAACTGATTTCTCTGGTCCCTTGTAATTCGTTATATTCATGTTCTACCGTATATCAGATTTCAGCTGAAATAAGGGACAGGCCTTTAAAAAAGGGGTGGGTGCGTGGGCCAATGAGACATAAAATAAAATGATCGCCAAAATCTATCAGAACTATTGGGGGGGCATGAAAAAATGGCACAGTATGATAAAGTTCTGACACCAATCCCATCAAGAATGTGTGTTTAATAGCATTATCAGAGTTACAAAACTGGTTCCTTGAAAATACCCTTCACAGCCACTGTTTCAGGCTGATAAGGCACCTTGGTTATGGACCCAGCAAAAATACAAAAGAAATCATCCACTCTTGAGCAAAGGGTTCCTTGGTCTGATATTTTTCGGATACCTAGTGCATCATTCTTAATGCTGTGGCTTTTGATCAAGAAGTATTCAGATAGATATAAAGCTCTAACTGTAAATATAGAAGTTATCACACAAGTGTGTTTTTGGATGGTATGTATCCTATAGGATTAGGATACAAAGTATTTAGCAAGCCAAGTTTGTAAACACTGAAAGTAATACCTTCCTGACCTTTTTTATTTGCATATTTGTCCGTAAATGAGCCTAATAGATAACATTTGTCTCTTTATCCAGCCAAGAAACCTTGCCATTTTTCATGTAATAAATATCAAAAACGTATTCTACATGTACTATGATATAAAAAATGTTTTTATAACTATTTTTATTCTCAAAATATTTTTCTCAATATCCATTTTTTGCCTTTGTCCAGGTGAGTCAAAGCAATATGATGAAGACGAATCTCCAGTAGATTTCCTCAACCGAGCATCATATAACTATGCTACTGCAATTAAGTTCAAGCCCAAAGATCCTGACCTTCACCTTCAACTTGGGATGGTATTGGAGGAGAGGTATTATGCTGAGGATTTGTTCGGATTCAAAAAGGAAGTAAGTGTCCACGATTCTTGTAATTTCAGCTTAATCGATTACTGAACCTAATTTTTTGCCAATGCTCTTAGAGCTAAGCCTAGATTGTCTTCTTCTCTTATTCCAAATTGGCATAGTACGATAGGTTAAGGCTTTTGCTTTTTGCATTGAATAAATTGGGTTCATTTACCTACCCTGATGCGGTGTCTAAAGCCCATTCTTGGTGCGCCCCAATGTGACTGGCAACTATTTAAACTTTTCCCATATCATACAATGCTTTTCATCTTTCTTCTTCAATCCTATGTGGAATTGTGCTTGAACAAAGTTTCCAGCTTCTAAAAAGCAATTCGCCTGAACACATCCCAGCATACCATGATCACCACCCAAACAAATGGCTCAAAACGGAATCCCATGCATAGCAACCTACACGACCTGATCACTTTTTTATACCTGCCACATCATTCTCTTTCTCATGGCCACACTGTGGAGACGTTTATTATCAGTGTTAGAGAATGCATATTTTTTACTTATCCTGCATTACTCCTTAATGCACTTACTGCTTACCTTACGACAAAAAGAGAGAGCGCCTAGTGATGGTCCTGGGTGCAAGACAAAAGCTGTTTCCATCTCAAGTCCCACTTTTGTAGGACCATCGTCGCTGTCATGTGACCTTGATGTTATGTCACATCAAACCATATTACCGCTTGTCGTCGACCAGAAAGGACGTGTCTCACTTGGCTCTCCAGTTTTTTCCTTCTTTTGATGACCTGGAAGATCTCTCCTTATGTCCGGTACAAGTACTCCAAATCTACTTGAAGGCTGCAAGACCTCTTTGGCCCTCCTGGGAGAGACACCTGTTGCATCCAATTGAGACCCAAGCAGTTGCTTCAACCATGACCCTACATAGCAACTGCTCTCTCTCCGCCATTATGGAAGGGTGTTTGTGGAAGTCCAGTCTCATTAAAATCAGACCTTAGTTCTAGCTACCGCGAAACAAAGATCTGAGGACATCCCCTTACGGGTCATTTCAGACCGACCTTACGCAAACTTTGACCGACTAATGGAATGACCAATCAGAGGGCAGCTTTCTCATGCTTTACGGCACTAATTTCGAATTGGCGACTATGCTTCGAAACATGTTGACAAATTCTCAATTACAAATTTGAAACCTGAACAAAAAACATTCGTGAATGGCTAAAAGATGGTCTAGATTGTAAGGATTCAGTCGTTAAACCCATAACTAACGTTCGTAATACCCAATGTTAAAGTTTTCGAGGTTGCATGATAAGGAAAATCACATTCCGACTGTCACTTATATAATCTGGTAGGTGACACTCTGATTGGTCGGATGAAAGGCCGTTCAGACGTGACCCCTAAGGGGATGTCTTCAGATCTTTGTTTAACGGTAGCGAAAAGTAAGATCTGATTTTAATGAGATTGGTGAAAGTCAGGCACAGTCTTTGCTTCCCAGTATCTCCATGACACAGACGTCCAGGGCTTACATCAATTCGGTCACCTGCTCCTTACACAGTAGCTGTCGACTGCACACCACTCCTGCCCTCTCGTACTACGCTCGTGTATAAACAGAATAAATCTTGGAACTTTGACTCTTGCGTTTATTGTTCTTTGATTGTTTGCGTTCCTCGACCCAGTACCCAATTGGAGTGTGGATTCGCTTGTCTGTAAAATTTAGATCTTCAACAGCAGAGTTGCCGTTTCGACAGTGTCCCGACCCTTTATTCCGCTGACCTCTGTATTTTGTATTTGTGTTGTTCGGTACTGGCTCAAAGATCCTCTTGTGGATATTGTTGATCTTCCTTTTCTCGTCTTGGCATGCTTCAATCCCTCAGGCTTTATTGATCGCTTTGATGAAGCATTAGGAGATGCCAGGCAGTCGCACTACTTTGTTCATGGAGATAGTGTTGCGTCCTGTCTTGTATACCAATTGAATGGTGTTCCATTCTGGATCGATTGTAAGTCGTTCTGTATCACTCATTCTTTACAGCTACATGGTTGTTCATGTAATGATGTCATGCGTGAAAACACGTTTCCGCATGTTATACCCGATATCATGCTGTTAGGTCCTATTTGTGTATCGGGATCATGTCACCAGATTGTTATTGGTCGTTAGATCAGTTATTGTCGTTTACGACACTAGGCAGTGTTTTAAGTTTATTATTATTATAATTTTTTCACTGTTTAGAGCCAGCTTCTTCATGCATGTCTCTTGGTTGTATTCTAATACAGGCTAGAGTATCTCCAACTGTGGAATAATGCATAGTGCGAGACAGGATAAGTTTAAAATGAGTATCCATCCTGAAATGTGACCATCCTGAAAAATGACTGAATTTATGCTTGTTTGGGTTCTGACGGGTCTGAGATGATGGAATCAAGTAGCTTGTCTCAGACCCAGACCAAGACTTGAGTCCTTGTTTTAAGCAGTGATAGGCCACACAATAGACATTTGGACTTCTTTCTTAGCACCATCCAAGTCAAAATGTGTACACTGTACAATTCTTCTTCCATGTCTGCCACACTCATAGAGATGTGAAGATGTGAAGATGTGAGTTATCTCCCCTGGTCGAAAAAGGCCTCAAATCCATCTACACCAGAACTGTGTTCAAGTAGTTGATTACCTGTCAAAGCCCTCATGCGCAGTGTTATTGTTTCAGCAGGATAGTTCCGACATTCCTTCCTTCAACGTGCAGGCTAAGGAGAGTTCCAAAGAAGAGGAGGCCCTGGCCATAGCCAAGCTGAGAGGGGTGGATGCCACAGCTCCTATATCACTGCAACTGAAGGCAATAGATGAGGAATACCATCACTTGATAGACTCAGGGCAGAGCGGCAAGGCTGATCATGTCATGGAGCTGTATGCATGGTACTCCAAGAAAGCATCTCAGGTGAGTTGACAGATGAGGAATACCATCACTTTGTAGACTCAGGGGAGAGCGGCAAGGCTGATCACGTCATGGAGCTGTATGCATGGTACTCCAAGAAAGCATCTCAGGTGAGTTTACAGAATGAGGAATACCATCAGTCAATATTTTAATGTTGAATTTCTTGCATACTCTATCCTAGTCAATGGGACTAGCCACCATATTGTTGATATGGCCAATCCAACATTGAGGCTGGTTTGTAACTCACCTTCTGATTGGTCAGAACCACGTGAATGGATCCAGGGGTTAAGCTAATAAAAAAAGTCTTGTTTCTCAGGCACCGCCCACATCATCACAAAGTTCAACTTACGTTTCATTTTTATTTCCATTTTTAAAAAAATATAAAAAAATCCTTAAATATTCCAAGTCCAACAGTAGTTAAAAAAGCATTGCCTGAGAACCAATTCTTTTATGTTTTTAGGCCTAAGTGTAGGTTTGCTGAAATGAAAGCCCTGGAGATATAGAGGATGGTGTTACAGATATGTTTAACCAATCCTACCTTACCAGCTCATCATCTAGGCCAAGTATGTATGCCTTCTGTCTGGTGAAGTAAGCAAATAGAAGGCCTCTCTGATGGTGCATGCCATCTACTCATAATATTGTGGAAAAAGATGTTGGAGCTAGTCAGTGTTTGAAAAAACCGCCTGCCCAAAGGCCCATGGCAGGTAGATTTCGTGTCTGGCCCGTAGTTTCAAATTTGTATGGGTCCTTTAAATTTAAGTTTTGATTTATCTGTCACAATAAGCTGTCTTGAAGAGTTTAGTTTAGTCTTGAGTTTGTGGGTCCTGATGGCAGCCTGGGAAATTCTTTTATTTTAAACACTAGTAGAAAGACTTGAAAAGGTGATTTTGATTGTTGTTATCCTACATCATTGACTTTCCACAGTATTCTATCTTCTTTCTATTTTGATTAATACTCTGGACTCATTCGCCACTGTAGCTTTATTTTTAGCCTGATTTGAATAGCACTATGTTGAATATAACTCTCCAATCAAATTACTGTCATGGGCAAGAGACATTGTATGCAAACTTTGTGATAAAGAGAGCTGAGTGGTAGTGATGTCATTATAGAAACAATGCTATGGTGGTATATGTACACAGAGCATGTATCATGATAGAATGGAGATTTAAAAAAATATGTAACCAAGCATGCTATACAGTGTACTTGTTTATTTGTTTGTTTAACACTGCACTCAGCAATATGACGGCAGCCTGTTAATGATCAAGACTGGTCCGAACAAGCCGGTGATTGACAACATGATCATCCAATCGCATTAAAATCAGACCTTGAGCTAGTAACTGCTATGTGTAGCGATCACAAGCAGTAAGATCATCAATCCACACAATTGTGATATGATGACATGCAATCAACTGTCACCGAACCTGGTCACCCCATCCATATTGTCACCTCCAACGAGACCTGTGAAGATCCGGGTAGAATAGGTCTTCAGCAACACATGCTTGCCGTAAAAGGCGACTATGCTTGTCATAAAAGGCGATTAACGGGATCGGGTGGTCAGGCTCGCTGACTTGGTTGATGAATGTCATCGATCCCAATTGCGTAGATCGATGCTCATGATATTAATCACTGGATTGTCTGGTCTAGACTTGATTATTTACAGACCGCCGTCATATAGCTGGAATATTGCTGAGTGCGACGTAAACAACAAAACAACCAACCAACCAACCTCCAACGACCAGCATAGCTTGCTGGGAGCTTATATTCTTACCCAGAGCCACAAGGGTTGTACTGTGGTCATTACTAGTGTACAACAGCATGGTCATATCTCTACCCCCCAGGAAGGAGCTGCTGCCCTGAAGGCGGGCAATGACAGGAATCCCCTTGGGCAGGCCTACATGAAATACCTGGACGCCATGACACTGGACGAGACCAAGGCTGTGTTCAACTTCCATGTGGGTCGGCTGCTGGTCGTCCAGGGAAATTATGAAGATGCTGTCAAGCGTCTTGAAGTCACACTCAACTGGAATGCAAAGCATCAGCTGGCAAAGTAAGGTTACTTTGTAAACTGTTTCATCATAATCATCATAATCATCACTGTCATAAGCATAGCTAGGATGGGTTTTTGAGAAGGATTTTGGGTCAGATACGTCCGACAGCACCCCATCTTTGCAGAACAATTGCCTAAGATTGGAATCATATGGTTGCAATGTCTACCGAGAATTATACAATGTGTGAAGCCAATTTTTGGTGTCCCCCATCATGATATTGCTTGAAAATTGCTAAAAGTGGCGTAAAACAATACTCACTCACTGACTCTAATGAGAATGAAGAGTCATTGGACGGGTGACCAAAAGGGAGACAACTCATCTTCAACATGGCTATGTCTAGACAAGTGCCCTTTAGGTTGATATGGAGTGAGTTAGTGATTTAAGATTTAACATCGCATCAGCACTATTTCAGGCATGTCGAGAGTGTTGAAGTCCATATGACCTTGCCTCCTGTTGTCTGAATCAAGTCATCCATTATCCAACCTTGGCACATTGCAGATGCTGGGTTGTTACAAAGAATATTAACCTGCCCACACAATGGTCATCACACACCCTTGTGGTATAATGTCTGATAGTGTTCTCTGCTTGTATTGATAGTTTCTCACACTGTTGTCTAGGAGGGACCACTATCAACCTCTTTGCAGGGAAAATCTCGTTCTTTTTTTCAGAGCTGGTTCAGTAATAGTAAACCATCCAAAATGTTTTCAAAATTTACTTGTCAGAACGGATAGATTTTCCATTGGAACAATTCCTTTTGTGCAAATCACACACTCCCTTTTGAATTATTGGAAGCATTATCCATATTATGAGACAGATTTGTCTTGACACCGAGATTTTAGAAGACAGAAATAGAAGTCTGAATGTTGCCATATTTTCAGGATATACTTGGGTCTAGCCCTGGCACTGCAGAAGGGAGGTCCAGGATCTCGGGCCAAGGAAGCTATCACATATCTTCAGGAGGCCGTGGAGACGTTGCTCACAGAAAACTCAAAGTTTGCCTTGTCAGATGAGGAGAATATGTGAGTGAGGTCTGAGAAATCAAATATCAGACATTGTCGTTTCACACATTAAAGACATGCTCACTATCATAGCTGTACACGTATGGCACTATTGTTAAGGGACTGTGGACTTGATAATGTTAACGTGAAAGTGAATATGAAAATTCTTCTAATCTCTGATGTACCATCTTCCCAAGTCAAGCGTGTCCACTAGCCTATGTCAAAGCCTACTTCCTACCCTTGCCACATCAAGGACACTTTTCTTGGCTGGACCCATGCGCCACCTCGCGTAGATCATGAGTTGTGCCCCTTGTAATGACAACACGATATCCAATCAGAACGCTGTTCATATCTCGTATAGCTTCACAAAGACGGCGACTACCATAGGTGGTGACATAGTCTATCAGATAATGAAATCATTGTGATTTTGTGACACAAAAACATAGGCAATCGTTTGAGGAGGGGTTGAAAAAGATGAAAAAGACATTCATGTCAACAAAGACAGGCAGCGGTAAATCACTTTCATACGAAGTTGTACAAGTCGTGGATGTTGATTTTGTGAAACGTTCTCTGATTGGATACTCCAGTCATATATAGCGCAGGAAAGTGGGCTTGATGTGGCAAGAGTGGAAACATGATAAAAAGGCTAGTGGACACTCTTGCCTCGGGAAATGCTGATATACTGGTGGTCAAGTGGACAGAGCATCGACCCGGAGAACGGAAGGTTTGGGGTTTCAAACCCAGCTGTTTCGTACCAACAGACATAAAAAGACATAAAACGATGACACGGTCAGACCCGGTATTTCGAACCTAACAGGATCGTTTTGTAACTTTGAAATAGCTGGAGATTCAAAATAGCAGGGCATGGACAGACAGATAGATCAAGTAACAGTGTTATGGATCCATTGCAATACGAGTGACTGCTATCAAAGTGACTGTTGTCATGATTAATAACAATAGCTGCTGAAGAAGTACTTGGGCAAACTAGGCTGGAATTTCTAGTGTCAATTGTAGCGCCAACAGTGGCTATTACAAGTTATGTCCCATCTATGTGAAGAGTTTTAGCATCAGTGAGTATTTCTGTTTCTGTTGACTGGGGAAGGCTTTTATACGTGTTTTATGTATTGTCCAGATGTACCGAAGAGCACCTTGATTAAAAACATTAAAAGATTTGGAAAATATCTGTTGATGCCGAGTTGGTGGTACAGATGATTTGCAAAACCTGCTGTTGACCGAAATCACCGTACACCCTTTCACTGACCCATTACATTTGACCTTCAGTGTGTTGGGCAGCCTTCATGCAGAGAATCTTATCCGACTGACCAATGTCCACCTGCTGCGAGCTGTGATTCAGTTGGGCCGACTTCTCACCGCCAACCCAGACGTGAAGGACACCCTCTCAGCACAGGATGTGTTTCATAAGTAAGACCTCAAATCAAAGGCAGTGAAATATCCTGCGAGCGTGAATTAAATGCGAAAAATGTGAGTAGTCTTTGCTCATATTATTAAACATCACATTTATATCAACAATAAGACATATTGGATAGCAGAAATACCAACTTAGACATACGCTGAAAACAAACAACTATGTATTTCACCCCACTGTTTATTGAGCAGCACTTGTAACAAGTATATAAACAATGTCATTCAAACACTAATTACATCCTGTGAATTGTCACTGCTGGGGTCAAGACAAGAGTTCAACTCACTTACATCATCACTGTTCACACCTGCAAGTCCAGACAGACGCCTCCCACGCAATATGGTGTCTTTGTTCTTTGCGACTGCGTCAAAGGCCGACACGAGCCAGCACGCATGTATTGTTTTAGCGGAAATACTCTACTCAGTGCTAATAAGCGGTGCTATGTGGTGTGTGATTGGATGAATGTAAGGTGGGACTAAGGTGAGGATTCTCCTGTATACCTGACAGAGGATAATCGACGTGAGGATTGTAGGAATATGCGGGAATAACCTACGTGTGTATAAAATGGACTTGTGCTATTGCAGAGATTCTGTTGAGGGAGTCATCATGATTTAAATATGGGTAAATATTTTTAAAGCTTGTACATTTTATCATCATCTTTAAAGAGGCTGTACATAATGTTGATATCTCATATAAGAAATAAACAACACATCGTTGTTTATCATACATTAAAACACCACAGGGAGAATAAACTTGCAGTGTTTTATTGTACAATAAACAACGATGAGTTGCTGTTTATTTCTTGAATAGCATTCATGTCACTTGTGTTTCTCATGATGTTACCTTCCGCTCCAGTGCTGCCCTCCTATCATCACAAGTTCTGCCAACACTCTGTCGAGGAGATACCTACAAACAGGTGGAGTGGGTTCTCCTTGATGCTCACTCCCTTCTCCTCCGGTCTGCCAGTCAGAGTGGACAAGAGAGTGTCATCGCCCAGCGCTGTGAGAGGCTGTCCGCTCTCATCGTCCACTCCACCATCCCCCAGAATTCGGAGCTCCTGAACCTTCAGGAAAGGGTAAATATTTTATGTCTTTTGAAGAGTTTAATCATTTGTCTTTATTTTGGATCATTGGGTGATTGACATAACAAGCTATCAGTAATTTAGCAGTCAGCTGTGTCGTTAAGCTAGATATTTATTGTAAGAATTGTTTTTGATATGATTTTGCAAATATTTTTTAAATGTGTGTGCACCCTCTGTTGCTTTCATATCACAAAGTATGGGTATGACATAATTTAGGCTGAACAAAATCTTGGTTCTCAGGCTCCGCCCGCATCTTCAAAAAGCCTGCCAAACGTTTCTTTTTTATTTCATTTAAAAAAAATATACCTCATAAAGCATTGTGACTAATAAGGATGAGATGGTAAGAATGGGGGATCTGCTTTGTCATCTACCATCATTTACATGTCGCCTGATATAGCTGGAGTATTGCTGACTGTGGCTTTACACTAAGCTAATTTCCATGCTCGCATTTATGTACTTGAGATGCTGTATTCTCCTCACTCCCCTGTACTGATGAGAGAGGTGGTGCTGTATTCTCCTCACTCCCATGTACTGATGAGAGAAGACACTGTATTCCTCTCACTGCTATGTACTGATGAGATAGTTATGCTGTATTCTCCTCACTCCCATGTACTGATGACAGAAGACACTGTATTCTCCTCACTCCCCTGTACTGATAAGAGAGGGGATGATGTATTCTCCTCCCTCCCAGGTACTGATGAGTGAGGACACTGTATTCCCCTTAGTCCCAAATACTGATGAGAGGGATGCTGTGTTCTCTTGTAGACCTGTCAGCAGCTGGTACAGATCCAGCCATGCAGCAGCCCAGCTCTCTACATCCTCGGGGCAGCACAACTTGCCAAGTTCGAGAACAGCCCCCCTGGAGAAGCTGCCAACAAGCTGCTGGAGGATGCCAAGGCTTCCTTCAAGTCCTGCATGGAGCTGGAGGGGAAGCCGGCCTCGGGGGAACCTGGGGAGATGTTGACAGGTAAAGATGCCTGCAGTGAGGTTTGATCAGTGTTTAATTATTAAATACGCACTTTGAGAACAAATCCAAATATTCTCTGCATCATTGCTAAAAGATATTGATCAGTGGGGTCATGCGATGTACTTTGACTTCAAGACAAGCAGACTGTTGTCACTACTACATGAGACCCATGAAGATCCGGGGCAGTATAGGTCTTCAGCAACCCATGCTAGCCGTAAAAGGCGACTATGATTGTCGTAAAAGGCAACTAACGGGATCGGGTGGTCAAACTCGCTGACTTGGTTGATGCATGTCATTCTTTCCCAATTGCGTGGATCGATGCTCATGATGTCGCTCACTGGTTTGTCTGGTCCATATTCAATTATTTACAGACCGCCATCATAAAGCTGGAATATTGCTGAATGAGGCGTTAAACAACAAACAAACAAACAAACAAAATACTACTACATGATAATGACATGCCTATTACGAATTATGTCCCTCCTTATGCCTCCTATTGACCAATCAAATTCTGCCTCTCATAAGTTGCTTCAAACAAAATGGCGGCACCCAGTCGAGATAATCTGATTGATAGGTTCCATATTGCAATAAAACGGGTCTATCTTCATGAAGTGCATCAAATCAAGTGAGCAGCGTGATTAAAAACATGAAAAGATTTGGAAAGTATCTGATGATACTGAGTTGGCGGTACACGTGCTTTACAAATCCTGCAATAGTTGACGAACTAGATGTCAATTTCTTTATGCAGTTTTGACTGGACTATGAATAGACATGTTAGTCGAGCCAAGATACAACTCTATTATTCTAGCCTTTATTTGAAGTAAATGTATGTTGTGATAAATGTATGTGATACGAGAGGTGGAATCTGATTGGTCAGTAGAAGGGACATAGAAGGTACATAACTCATAATTGCCACATAATTGCCACTGAACAGTGAAGATTCCGGGGTAGAATAGGTCTTCAGCAACCCATACTTGCTGTAAAAGGCGACTTTGCTTGTCGTAAAAGGGGACTAACGGGATCGGGTGGTCAGGCTCGCTGACTTGGTTGATACCTGCCATCGATCCCAATTGCGAGGATCGATGCTCATGATGTCAATCAGTGGATTGTCTGGTCCAGACTCGATTATTTTACAGACCGCCGTCATATAGCTGGAATATTGCTGAGTGCAGCGTTAAACAACAAACAAACATAATTGCCACTGGTGGCGCTACGATTGAGCCTGGAAATTTTAGCCTAGTTCTGCAAGGGTGGTGACTAGACTTCAATGGTCAGTTAAAGCCCTTGCCTCGGGAAGATGGTTATAAACCTCAACAAGGACTATTTTGAAGCATGTCCACAACTACATCAGAATAAAATCCTCATATTTCCAGGTCAGCAGTGGTGGCAGGAGAAGCTGAAGGCAGAGGAAGAAAGGAGGAAGGCAGCGCAACCCAAGACTGAAGCAAAGCCTGCAGCTGGAGGTGCGAGAGGAGGCACTAGGGGAGGGGCAGCAGGGAGGGGGGCACCTGCAGCTCGGGGCAGAGGAGCTGCAACCAGGGGAGGTAAGTCAATGCTTGATGTGTAGCAGGATGAAAGAATGTCAGTTAGGTCATGAATGACATACATTCATACTAGGCTGTAACAGTGAGATTATGTTAGGTGATTGGTTTTATGAGTAATAATGTACTCAAGATGTTGACTTGACTTGCTTAGAGAGGAGGAGTCATTGAGGTGTCGAGACCTGCTCAGAGGCCGATATTTGACCCAAAATCAAATGTCAGTAAAAATTCCAAAATTAGAATTAAATTCATGTTATTATAGTAACTAATGTTTTTGCATGCAGAGGTGACTTGTGGTTCACTAATAACAGGATTAATAAACAAGAAGATGCTTTAATGTTTAGTCTCACATGTTTCCATTGAATGACATATTAAAATACCCCTGAATTTAAGAGAAGAAGGACTATGTTTTTTCCTAGTTTATCTGCCAAGGACACTTAGTTTAGAATTTTAGATATATTCATAGGAGTTAAAGCATCACCATTTTTGTTACCAGTTTACAGCATTGAATGGTCAGCATATCTACAACCAAGCTATGACTTTGTCCCATTATTTCGATTTGGGTTCATAATAAGGTTGTTGGTTGTATCAGTAGTAAAGAGGTTCACAGCATTGTCCTCATCTTCATCACTAATCCCCTAATATAGAGAAACCAATAAACATGCATGTGTTCAGGTGCCTTTACCAAGGGACATAACTCTGTTAGCATCTATTTGTGTGAATGATTTTCAGCAAATCAGATTATTGCAGCAGAAATGCACTGTGGTTGATTTGCTAATTGCTGCATTGACAGGAGCTGCTGCTAGTCGTGGAGCTGGAGCACGAGGGGCCAGCACAGCACCTGGTCGGGGTGCAGCTCGAGGGGCACCTGCAGGAAGGGTGAGCGAGTCCAAGATGATAGCATTGTCAACATATAGTGGTAGGATGATGTTACACGGGTCACATCCTTCAGTCCTTCAGATCATTCAGTTAAACCTCAGATCCTACAACAAAATGTTTTCTTGTATCAAATATGCTCAGAACCTCGAATCACAACACTGAACACTTTCTATTCTTCAAATAACAGATTTGAACTATATTTTTGTCATTATCTTCACTGCAGTTGATATCCTTTTCCTGACCAAAAGAAAGTGAAATATCATGATTTTTCGGGTTTTCAAATACTGCTAAGTTTATACGGGGGAACAACCAATCAGAGGTCAAACTTAATGAAATTTTAGTTCTCAAAACGCCCGACTCTCTTCCTCCTAGGATGACCGCACATTTATGAACTGTGGAACATTTATTATTAAAATAAGTCATAATTGTGTCATTAGACAGGGAAATCTGTATCGTATATATTACAGCCTTCCAGTGTATTGGCCAAAATGTATGATGCAAGATGTTTTATAAAGACACAATTGGGCAATCATTACAATGAAGACGAACCAGCGAAAAGCCATGAAATATAGTACGTTTAATCCTGGATTGGTCACTCTCTAGAAAAACATAGCAGTGTTCTGAAAACATAACTTGCATTACATTTAATATGATTGTCCTCAGAAGAAAACATGCTTGCTTTGATGAGGGAAATTATGAGGTCGGGTAGAAACTGCTTGTGGAATCATGTTCTCTTGTCACAGGGTGCACCGGCAGCTAAGGCAGGGGCCCCTGCAGCCAAGTCAGGGTCATCAGGTACACTGAAACCTGCTGCATCCAAGTCTGGCCATGATACCTGTGTCACTAACTCTACAGGTGTGTGTTTCTCCTCTCACAGGGACATAGGGGTGGTCAGGTAGCCTAGTAGTTAAAGCTTTTGCTCGTCACACCGAAGACCCGGGTTTGATTCCCGACATGGGTACAATGTGTGAAGCCCATGTCTGGTGTTCCCCGCCTTGATATTTCTGGAATATTGCTAATTCACTCACTCACTCACTCACTCACTCACTCACTCACTCACTCACTCACTCACTCACTCACTCACTCACTCACTCACTCACTCACTCACTCACTCACTCACTCACTCACTCACTCACTCACTCACTCACTCACTCACTCACTCACTCACTCACTCACTCACTCACTCACTCACTCACTCACTCACTCACTCACTCACTCACTCACTCACTCACTCACTCACTCACTCACTCACTCACTCACTCACTCACTCACTCACTCACTCACTCACTCACTCACTCACTCACTCACTCACTCACTCACTCACTCACTCACTCACTCACTCACTCACTCACTCACTCACTCACTCACTCACTCACTCACTCACTCACTCACTCACTCACTCACTCACTCACTCACTCACTCACTCACTCACTCACTCACTCACTCACTCACTCACTCACTCACTCACTCACTCACTCACTCACTCACAGGGACATCTGTGTCCTCAGTACTTGTCTTACTCATTCACCCACTGGATTAAAAATAATGGCTGATTGTCAATTTTTCCTAAATATGAGTAAACTTTGAAAAGATCGTATCATAATTATTCCAAAATATTCACTCCGAGAGTCATTAATGATATAATAGACAGTGTGATGGCTTTGTTGGGAAAGTGAGAGCTTGTCACTCTGACGACACAGGTTTGATTCCCTTCATGTGTAACATGTGTGAAGTCCATTCATTGTGTCCGTATGTTTATTTGGTTAGATTAGTGTGAAGAAGACTTTTAAGATACTCACTCATGTACAATACTGAGACTACGTCCCAGCCATGTTGCCAGAGGGCACGAGTGGCCCGGTCGTCTAAAGTCCCGTGATTCACTGTGCAGAGTTGTGTCCCTTGGGCACGCCAGAAACCTATGATTGTGGGTTCGAATCCCAGTTCGCCCCGATTATGTTTCTAGGTTTGTCAGCACCATAACCGTGCTAGTGGGATAACTGAAGTGGTAAACGTCCTTTCCTTGCCCATTAAGCTGACACGCCACGATATAACTGTTAAAAGCGGCATTAAACCCAACTCACTCACTCACTCATGTTGCCAGTTTGTTGCATTCAAATCATACTGGTATTTTCACTCTGCTAACAGCCTATTTGTCTGTGGTGTGGTTTATTCATGTCTGTACTCTGACAACCTCTGAAGCCATATGTGTTGCACTTGTAGTTATCTAATGCTGTTTGATAGTTTCAAGAACATCTTGCTCTTCAGCATTGATGGGACTGTATTTCATGAAAATGTTGGAGCACTGTTAAAGTTCTGATCCAATGGATGTTTTATTTGGGCAATATCTTGTCCAATCATTCGGAACACTTTATGCAAGAGTGCCTCTTGAGTGTAGGGCTGGGACAAATCCAAATTTACTACTTAGGCACCCAATCCCCAAGTACCTGACCCGGCCCAGGTACCCACTGTAGGTCTCAAGAGTTGGGTACAAAATGTACAATTGGGAATTGTTTTATCGGAGCCCGGGCAAAAAGTAAAACAATCTTGTCATGCATGCACTGAAGTTGATTGAAGCTTTATCTTTATTCAAACACATAAAAGTCAGAATAAATGTGAACATTAGTGACATGTACTTTAACCATGTTACAGTTACAGTGAATTTTATCATAAAACTATATATCACATGACTAACCACGGGTTGGGGAAGTCCTGTGGGTACCTACCTGTCTGGGGCGGTCGGGTAGCCTAATGGTTTAAGCGTTCGCTCGTCACGCCGAAGACCCCAGTTCGATTCCCGACATGGGTACAATGTGTGAAGCCAATTTCTGGTGACCCCCGCCATGATATTGCTGGAATATTGCTAAAAGCGGAGTAAAACCATACTCACTCACTCACTCACCTACCTGTCCCGAGTGCAGCATTGCTTTGATGTTGGGTGTTTTTGTCAATGGAACATTGTTTTATAATGAACAATATCAGTTTCTTTTATCAATTTTATTTTTGTATATGAACTAAATCATATTTAAATCATGACATGTACTTTCCTGAGGTGTAGCAATCTTGCCTTCTTCTATACTATGTATTGTTTTGACCCTCATGCCACACCCTGTAGCCCCAGCCTCCACAGTGAAGCCAGCACCACCTACAGCAGACAGTCCAGCCCCTAAACCTGCACCCTCCAACGCCAAGTCTGCCCCCATCAACGGGAAGATGTATCATCCTCGTCTGGGGCTGGCACGGGCGTTGCGGGCAAGTGGTGACACACAGGAGGCGCAGAAGTACTACACTGAAGTCATCTCAGTGGCCCCGGGGGTAAGGTTTCGTGTGGTGGGATGGATTTGTCAGTTTAAAACTTAAGGGATGTAATTCTGAAAACCTTAGGGCACACAAAAAGGGTTTTGTATCTAAAATGAAGTATGACTTCCCTAAATGTCAGTTATACTCTATTTCCAGTTATTCCAGTTGTAGCATGGCCTTGTAGACTTCCATCTTCCTGAGACAAGGGAGTTAATTTACTGTAAAAATCCAGTTTCCACCCTTGCTGAACTAGCCCGGAATTATGGAGTTGTATGGAGTCTATGCGTATTCCAATCAAAATCGTGGAACGAAATCGACATTGGGATCATAAACAATATGGCGACTGCTGTGCAGATTTCAGATGATTGCAGGATGTGTAAGGTCAACTGTCAACTTGGTGTCGACAGATGTTTTCCAAATGTTTCATGTTTTTAATCAAGGTGCTGAAGCGATTTGCAAGGGAAGAGCCATTGTGTTTGAAGCAAATGCATGTGATGACAGGGGGGGAATCTGATTGGTCAATAGGAGTGTTATGTCATAGAAGGGACATAACTTGTAACTGCCACTGGTGGCACTACAATCAAGCCACCAATTTTCAGCCATGTTTGGCAAGAGCAGAAACTGGACTTTTGTAGTCACTTGACTCCCATGCCTAAAGATTTCTGGGTTGGAATAAAGGTCTTCAGAAACCTATGCTTGTTGTACAAGGCGACAATGGATCAGGTGGTCAGTCTCAGTGACTTGGTTGATAGGATGTTACTTGTAATATCAATTGTTTGTTTGTCTGGTCAAGACTTGATTATATTTAGGCTACTGTAATATTGTGAAATGGATGTTCCTTTTTAAAAAAGAAACAAAACAACTTTTTCAGCTACAATACACTTTTTACAAAACCCTATTTCTAACTGTCAAGGACATGTCAAATTTCACGAAATATCTGTCCTTTTCAGTCAGTCAATATTTATCATCCAGGTACATGATGCATATATTGAGAGTGCCGAGATGCTCACAAAGACTGACCCCCTGGCTGCTGTCGACATCTTTGCCAAGTTTCCAGTCCCCGACGAACCATCATTCGATGATGCCTACATCTTCGGAGAGATTGTACGCCTGCTGATGAAGAACGAGAAGTATGATGACCCTCGTCTGGCCCCCAACATGATAGTGTATGGACATATCCTGGGTTTAGGTGAGTACAAGAGGGAGATGGGGCTTGTGAAGGATCTAGAGACGGATATGTATCCAAATTTAAAATATGGGCATGCTATGTAAATTGTTTATTATGCTCGACAATTATTTAAATATGTGGGGCGGTCGGGTAGCCTAGCGGTTAAAGCATTCGCTCGTCACGCCGAAGACCAGGGTTCGATTCCCAAAATGGGTACAATGAGTGAAGCACATTTCTGGTGTCCCCCGCCGTGATATTGCTGGAATATTGCTAAAAGCGGCGTTAAGCCATACTCACTCACTCACTCACTCACTATTTAAATATGTGGTGTGAATATGATGACTCTAAAGTCATGTGATTTCCCATTCACTGTTAGGCCAGACCAATTTTCAGCACATTTCACTATGATGATTTCACACCACCCATTGGAACAGAAACAATCTCATTAAAATCAGATCTTAATTCTCGCTCACTCTTAACAAAGATCTGAGGACATCCCATTACGGGTCACGTCCAAATGACCTTTCGCTAAATTTGACCAACCAATGAAATTACTAACAAGATATCAACATAAGCCAATCAGAAAGCAGCTTTCTCGAGCTTTATGGCACTAGTTTCAAACTAACAACTTCCTTTGAATAATATTTTGACAAAGTTCTCAATTTAAAATTTGGAAATTGAACAAAAGCACATTCTGGAATGTTTAACAGATGACCAAAATTGTGTGGCAGTCCTTCCAACAGGCTATACAAAGTCACTTCTGTTAAAATGTTATCCCATTGAAGTGAGAGGTAGATTAAGATTTTAACAGATTCAGTTGTACAGCCTATAAGATCTGATTTTAATGAGATTGTGACAGAAAAGATATGATGTCACAGCCGACTTCAGAAAAATGTCAAATCAAATCTCTCTGCTGTCTCTAAAGCTAGAAGTACTCTCTGACGATTTCTATCAAATTTCTGCCAAAAATGTTGTGTCACACATGTTTTGAATATTGTAGTTTTGGCAACCCTGCATTTTTTCCCCCCGACATATAATGACGGGGGGATATAGCCATCAGTATGTCCGTCTGTCCGTCCGTCTGTCTGTCTGTCTGTCTGGAATCATTGTTTGTCCGGAGCAAATTTCTTAAACCGTACAACCTAGCTTCACAAAACTTGGTACACTTACCAATCAGGCTCAGTAGTAGTGCCTTTTGCTATTTAGAGATTTTTAGAATTATTTATTTTTGTCGTTTCCATGGAAATATGATGAACTTTGGAAATTTAAGGGTAGTGCTCTTGTCCGAAGCATATTTCCTAAACCATACAACCTAGCTTCACAAAACTTGGTACACTTAACAATCAGGCTCAGTAGTAGTGCCTTTTGCTATTAAGAGATTTTTAGAATTTTTTATTTTTGTTGTTTCCATGGAAATATGATGAACTTAGGAAATTTGAGGGTAGTGCTCTTGTCCGAAGCATATTTCCTAAACCGTACAACCTAGCTTCACAAAACTTGGTACACTTAACAATCAGGCTCAGTAGTAGTGCCTTTTGCTATTTAGAGATTTTTAGAATTTTTTATTTTTGTCGTTTCCATGGAAATATGATGAACTTTGGAAATTTGAGGGTAGTGCTCTTTTCCGGAGCATATTTCCTAAACCATGCGACAGAGATTCACCAAACTTTATGCACATATCAATCATGTTCACTAGTAGTGCAGTTTGTTATTTATAGATTTTAATCTTTTTAATTTGTAGCCCCTGACATTTGAGATCATCAGAAAGTGAGCTACATGAACCAATATTTAATAACCTTCATTATATTTCTGGTTTTGGCATCAAGGAAAAAGATTTCCTTGCCAATCTAAATACATTTGAAGGTACACACAGTTTACCGACATGCCACGTCGGGGGGAGATGTCATCTTAGGATGACTCTTGTCTAACTAATAATTGTATATATCATGATGGTAAAATGATAAAGAAATAAGTACTTTTCTATAAATATTAGCTTCTGCTGTGATGTGGCCATCAAACCAGCTGTTTCAATCAGAGGCGGTTATCGTGATTTGAAACCACTGATTGACCAATCAGAATTTTCCAAATTCATAGTAGAATTCAAATTAAAGATTAAGGGTCAGCAAAGTTAATAGCCATACATGACTTATATTGTGTATCAGTGATCATCTGTAACTAAAAAGCTCCTTGACCGTGGTTCTCATATTGAGTGAGTGATATGGGTTATAGCTGCTTTGAACCGTATTTATGTCATATTGCAAAATGGCAGCTTAATGTTGGGAGGAAAGCCCGAAGTGATGCAGGTCTTAGACATTTACCGCTTTGGTGAGACTCTTCAGCATACTCTTCAGGCTATGATGCTGACAAACCAAGAGTCATTATAAGGGTGAATCTAGGGGAAGCAACTCTGCACAGCGAATTGTGCCTTACGAACTGGTGCTAGCTTCCCTTGCATGATGATGTCAAGGTCACTGAATGATGGTGAAGGTCACTGAATGATGGTGCAGTGTAGACTATGTTTTTTTGTTTGTTGTTTAACACCACACTCCGCAATATTCCAGTTACATGGAAGCGGTCTGTACATAATCGAGTCTAGTCCAGACAATCCAGTGATTAATATCATGAGCATTTATCCATGCAATTGGGATACAATGAAATGCATCAACCAAGTCTTAGTCGCCTCTTCCAGCAAGCATAAGTTGCTGAAGCCGTATTCTAACCCGGGTCTTCACGGGTCTGTGTCGATAATGTATAAACACTGTTCCAGGGTCTCTGGAGAAGTATGTCAACAAGCTGGAGGAGCTGTTCAAGGCGGAGCTCCTCAAGACCGTCTATGCTGGCGTCAACAGGAAGGAAGTTGACGACCCTGACCTTCAGGCATTCTTCAAGTTCAAATGTTGGATCTAGATTATCATTGGTGAAAATAATGTTCATAGATTTCTCCGCTATGCCTACAGTTGTCATCAGATACTTATTAATCTTTCAGTATTACATTGAATAGAAGTATGTCATCTACAATGTCAAAAGTTCTGAATACATTTTCTGAACTGCATTCTGAGTATCAAACGCTTCTTTATACCATTTTCCAATCCAGGTTATTCCAAGTGTGTTGTTGCCAAGTCATGCAATATCATAATATGTCAAAATGAGCTGATTTTAGGGGTCAGCTTGTGCCTATATGCTTCCTTGTGTTCTATTAACAGTAGCCTCCCTTGAATTAAAATCTTCCTCTGACCAGACAGAAACAAAACACTTTCGGACTGTTGCATCTCACATAAACAGATGTTGCCAAGGAACATAATTTGTGAAGCATCTCTTCTCTACACAAGTCTTCCGTATCAACACTTGCCCTATTGGAAGTTGACAGAAAAGTATTATCCCATTTTGGTGTTAAAACCCCATCATCTGAAAAAATGATGGGCAAAGAGATTAAGTTTGGGGAAAAGGGTCATCAATGATTTGAATTCAACAAAATACAAACTGTTAACTTCATTATAGAGAACAGCTCCAATTGAAATACTCATGAAAAATAGGTAACGATGTTCACGCCAAATATGATAGAAACACTGATAGATTGGACCAGTTTATCTTAACTCCTATTTCCAGTTGTCAAGTATTAACGTCTGGTTATTTTCTCTGTACACCAGTATGATCGACTGATATGACCAACAGTATTAATGTAACTATTATTTCTTGCTTCTTTTGCATATTGATGATCAGTAACGTCAGTGTATACAAAAAGCCATTCATTGTAATTTGTTGCTAGGCGATTGGTCATTTATGACAAGGCGAGGTGTTGCAAAAATTTATCAATACTGTAAAGGGAGCGAGGTTTCTGATTTAAATTGGTTTTTTTTATAAAAAAATACTATTTAAACAGATTTCTCCCCCTCCACTCCCCATTAATGACCCGTCCCTAGGCTACTTGAAGTATTCAAGTTCTAGAAATCATGAATATTCAAACTGTCTTATATTTGCAAATAACTCTCTCCCTGCTCACACTTCCCTGCTGAATGTACTTCCTGGTTTCACGTAGCTGTGTGTGTAATCAACGTGTGATTGTCTCATTGATACATCTGTCATACTTAACTGCCATGATTGCCAAGACATTTATCCCTCTTGTCAAACGCTCCATCCATGTATTTATGCTGAAGCTATATTGTGTGTATGAATTAGGCAAAATGTAGTTGAATCAATATGTGTCTTAAACTCAAAGGTGATGAACAAAACCCTTTCAGACACATCCTCATGTATGTGCGCATGACAAGATAAATGAATCTCTGTGAGGACAACGTCCTGTCGACACAAGGAAGACACCTCAACTTGATGAAACATCGGATGTGTTCAAGATGAGGATGGGTTTTTGTTGGGTACTTCTTCCCTGTTCCTTCCGCCAGGTACATCAAACAAGCTCCAAAACAGAAATATCCACCCTGCAAGTCTATAGTAATTCGTTACGTCTAGATTCTGTTCAGAAAATAATATATTCTAGAGGATCCTTTGTGTTATATGTTAAAAAACAATTTCACCATTTTTTTTAAAACATTTTTATTTCAGGGGTTAATAATTTGTCTATCCACCTGCTTGTGTGTACAGGTGTCTTTCACACGTGGGTCACTGGGATCCATTTATTGTTATATTTACATTTTGTTTAATGTTTATATTGAGCAAAGAACATTACAAATATATTTTATTTGCTTTTTTGCATTGTGATAATACTTGGAGCTGTGATAATGTGAAGAAAATACAATAAATCTTCTTTTGGTATTAAAAGCCTTGTTGTGTAGTCGCTGTGTTTCTGTTTGTATCTACTTACAAAGAGGGTTGGAATGTTAGTGTCTTTGCCCCGGATGAGTCATCATCCGGGGGGGGGGGGGGGCTTGTGGTCATCAGGTGGTCTAGGAGATGGATGGCCACCTCCAAACTCTGATATGACCTTTCATATGGACCTGCCCCCAGGCAGACCAGTCCCCAGTCGTACCAAGACTAGGTTTGTTTGTTACCGCCACACTCAGCAATATACCAGCTGGTGGTCCAGACAATCCAGTGACTGACATCATGAGCATTCATCTACACATCAGTGATGTCAGAGAGCCTGACCACCCAGTCCCATTAGTTGCCTATTACAAAATGGGTTGCTGAAGACCCAATTCTAAACCAGAATCTTCAAGGGATCAAGACTAGGTAACCTGGCTAATGATGATGTCTTGTACTACTACTACTACTACTACTACTACTTATTATTATTATTATTATTATTATTATTATTATTATTATAATAATAATAATTATAATAATAATGTGTATTTATATTGCGCTAGACGAAATAATAATAATAATGTGTACTTATATTGCGCAAGACTCCATACACAAGGTGATTGCTGAAAACGCTTGCATTATTACCTGGTAAATGGATCAGTGTGAACTCTGTTTATCATTCTCGTACCCCAACTGTGTTGATCTTACGAATTTTACCGTGTTTGCCTGGTCAGCGTCTTTTTACAGGCCGCCTTGACAAAGCTGACATATCACTAACTGACGTAAAACAACATTCACTTACTCCCCAATCACAACCCTTCTGCATTGTGTAAATTCTTACCCAAAGGGTGACGAATCGTGTAAACTGTCAAGGGCCTTTAACATAGGTATTATTCTTCTATTACATTTTTATTCATGGTCTGACCAGACCTTGCTTCTGCTTTAGGTTTTCAACAAGGGCTTTCCACCAAAGGGGGTGGTGGGTAGCCTAGTGGTTAAAGCGTTCTCTCATCACGCTGAAGACTGGGTTTGATTCCCCACAGGGGTACAATGTGTGAAGGCCATTTCTGGTGTCCCCCGCCATGATATTGCTGGAATATTGCTAAAAGCGGCGTAAAACCATACTAACTCACTCCTACCATTTAAGAGTAGCCATCAGGAGGATTTGTACTCACCGACACTGGCTATCCTGTTTCTAAAATTCCGACCCCACCCGACCCGGACTAGAATGAGTGAGTGAGTTTGGGTTACGCCACTTTTAGCAATATTCGAGCAATATCAGGGCGGGGGAACACCGGAAAATGGGCTTCAAACATTGTAACCATGTGGGGAATCGAACCCTGGGCCCTCGACGTGACAAGGCAACGCTTTAACCACTAGGCTACCCCACTGCTCCTCAGAATAGGAGCATTTCTACTTTATTTGACTGACTGATACACAAAATGTGGATGATCTGGACACATCTCAAGATGCCACAGGTTTGGAGTACCCAGTAACTAGTATATTTTCATAATCAATAATTTATTCACAGCACAAAATGCACATATTTTACCATGTTCCATAAACTCTTAATCTAATACACTTTCTCAGCAATCATTCGAAACTTATTCAAAGCACTTTTTTCACATTCAAACAGTCTGAGCACTTTTATTTCAACAACATACAATCGTTCACAGTACATTTCAAACAGTCATCCAGTTGAAGTAGGTACGGGTTGTCCTGTTCCCCATCGAGGTGTCATTTACAAAAACACAGTGCAGTACTGTTTTTTCCGAGTGTTTTAATTAATTAATTAATTTAATGTAATAACGATGTACTGCTCACGTATTCCATTTTGACTTATTTGGGTCAAGTGTGACCCGGATGTCCCAGACTTTTATTTATGCGACTCGATGACCACAGCTGTCGACAGGGCCATGTGGCTAATATTCTACACCAACAAACTCGCAGGAGAGGCCTTAGTCCTTTGTTGGTATAGAATATTAGTTACATGGTCATGTGAGCTGTCACGCCGTCAAAATTTAATTACAGTGAGTGAGATTAGTTCAACGCTGCTTTGAACTGTATATTACAGTTATATCGCTGCGTGTCAGCTGAATGTGGGAGGAAAGCCCCAAGTGATGCAGGTCCGAGACGTTTTCCAGTTTGGTGAAACTCACGAGCTAGGGTATGGTGCTGACAAACCTAGAAACATAATCGGGGCGAACAGGGATTCGAACCCACTATCAGCATTCCCAATGGACGCAACTCTGCACATCGAATTGCGGCGCCGGAGACGAGTGGGCCAACCGTGCCCCCTCATATAAATGAAATGCCGATTAAAGGCGCCTTAAGCCCTGATGTACCTGATCAATACAGTTTCTTTCTTATATTAGAGGTCTTGAATTACAATTCTTCAGCAAGGGTACCTCCTTCCCGTACCTCTCAACTCTAGTCTACCCCTTTATCTATTTCCTCATCTGTCTAATCATTTTCGTTAATGTATAGCCCTCGACCTACTACCCTCACCCCTGGATGCTCGTGGCCAGGCATGCTCCCGTAGTCTTCAACTACCAGAGCTGCCTGTATTATACCTACATATATTCCCGACTTACCGACCCCAACTCCCCCTCTTGATCTTTTATATAATCAGTATGTCTCTTAATGCTTTATTAATTACTTTAATTATTTGTTAATTATCTAAATATATATTACACTTTTATGCCTATAATATTGTGTTGCACATGAATCAGAACAGACTTGATAAACAACGCTGTCAGAACTTGATGTTTCATAATTATGAAATCATCCTATTTTACAACAGAAAGCATATACGAAACATAAACGGCCTTCCCTCGTCTAAACAACGAAACAAGGCACACTGCTTCCAATAAACGATGGAAAAATTTGCCACAGATGAGGCAGGACTTCTTGCCTTCCGTCATACGTAGATCACGGCAAATAATCTATATAGATGAACCACTGTTTGTTTACATCTATGACCCATGAAGATCCAGGGTAGGATAGGTCTTCAGCAACCACTGATTGCCGTAAAAGGCGACTAACGGGATCGGGTGGTCAGGCTCGCTGACTTTGTTGATACATGTCATCGTTTCCAATTGCGTGGATCGATGCTCATGATGCCAATCACTGGATTGTCTGGTTCACACTCGATTATTTACAGACCGCCGTCATATACCTGGAATATTTCCAAGTGCGGCGTTAAACAAACAACAAACAAATTTACATCTATACCGCCAGATCGCGGAGATAATGAAGGCTGACAGTGACGTTAACGTCCACGAAACGCCACACTGCACACCCAACATGGTGAAGAGATTTACAAATGAGTTAACATGTCTGATTGCTTACCATCGCATGTCAACCACTGGTTTTATCTGATCAGGGACAGGTTACACCACAAACTCGACTTTTGATCGGGAATCCAACATTTGTATATTTTACTCAGAAAAAAACCCACAGCGATATATAGAATCTAGCGATCCCTCATTACAAGGGCAGATAATCCGTATTTCTTCGTAGCTCGTGTGCTATTCTCTGAATAACGTAGAAATATCGGCAAAATATTACGTTTGTGTTTCTCAATAGGAGAGCTTTTTGCTATGAATTGCATTTTATCGTTCAGCAAAACTGTTTATTATTTGAAAGAATTGCATTGCCACCTACTTGTTTTCATAATCGTACCAACTTGTATAAGCTTCATAGTGTGTTTAAAACCAGTAATAATGTGTCAAGTTGCCTGAACGAATTTATTTAATGCATTTTGGTCAGTTCAAAGGATTATGAAATGTATATTATACTTTGGAAATAACATGTGCAGTTTAGTATAAAAATTAATTAAAATATGTTTATACAATTATACTTCAGTGTATCATTGCCCTGAACTTTATGTTAATGAATAGAACTTGATCTTGAGGACAGAAGATGCAGAATATGTCTTCAGTACATTAATCTGGCGAACCGTGAAGATCCCGGGGAGAAAAGGTCTTCAGCAAGCCATGCTTGCCGTAAAAGGCGACTATGCTTGTCGTAAGAGGCGACTACGGGATCGGGTGGTCAGGCTCCCTGGCATGGTTGATGCATGTGATCGTATCCCAATTGCGTGGATCCATGCTCATGATGTCAGTCACTGAATTGTCTGGTCCAGACTCGAGTATTAACAGACCGCCGTCATAAGTGGAATATTGCTGAGTGCGGCATTAAATAACAAACAAACAAACATGATCCTGGCGTATATTTTTATTTCTTTGTTCACCCACATAATAATCTGCATACTTAATGTCATTTGCATTTTATGTTTTGTAGCAGTAATTACGTTCACACAAAAAACCGTTACAAGATTGTGTTTAGGATCTAAACACATTTTTACCGTGTATGTTGACTGCAAGCGCGATGCAAAACGACATTCACTCACTCATTCATAACATAAACTGAATATATTTAGAACTAAACGTTTTGGTATGGGAGTTGATAATAAGAACGACACCTGGACCATACCAAATTTATACGAGCAACTGATGATATATTCTGGTCATGTTTTGTTTGGTTGCCACAGTCGGCAATATTCCGGTGATATTTATTTATAATTACGCAGCTGAATCTTGAAACCCCGAATAATATTTGTGTATCATCAGAACTGGTGAATCTCAGTTTCCCATTTAAATAATTAATTACAGTGTTGGGTCAAACAAAAATAAATCATGTCATTATTTAAATCAGAACTTCTGATTCCTTTGATCAAACAGCTCCACAACATCCACAATCAACATGCATGTGCTTATGACGAACCAAGGTAATAGCGAACAAAAATTAGTGGTCCCTTTGAGTGCGTCATAACCGTAGTTTACTGTATTTTATGCAATGAGACGCCTCACTTTTTCCGTTATGTCACCTTTGTATAACCCTGTAAGATCCGGGGTAGAATAGTCCTCAGCAACCCATGCTGGCCGTAAAAAGCGACTATGCGACTAAGAGGCGACTAACGGGATCGGGTGGTCAGGCTCACTGAC